TTTCTTTCGAAGGACTTAGTTTTGGATAGAATGAAAATTTAGTGAATGGAGAACTTTGATCTTTTATCCAAAGTTTTCTGCATTAAGAGAAAAGCTGTAACTCCCTCATCTGCAGAATGTGATTTCGCTTTCACGGATACCTCACACAGTAACCCAGTCAGCTGATAATTTTGTTTTCTAGCCATCTTCTGTTGAACAGCCTTAGGAAATCTGAGCCACAAGTTGCAGAGCAAAAGGAAAGCTTGGCTGTGGATTGCCCCCCTCTGGTTACAGGGCACCAGCTGCAGGGCTCTTGGCCATTCAGCACATGGAAGCTTTGGGGCTCCGCATTTTGTGGGTAATAGGAAAAAATATCCTGATTATTCATTGTTGTAATGTTCTAGGAAGAGCTGGAAGTGCTGAAGAGCTCATCTGCTGTGCCCCAGAGCTGTTAGCTCTGGTGGACTGCCACACCTAGGTGAACCCTTGGGTAAGGGGACAGGCTTTATGACAAGAAAGGGAAATGCCACAGCAGTCAAGTGGAGCGGATTAAACAGATGTGGTGCAGTCAAATGTGGCATCTCAGCTTGCAAAAGGAGCTGTAGGAGGGATAGATTTTCAGGCTTCTGGTTAAACTGAAAATATTGAGGGGTTGGAAATATCAGATTCCTTCATTGTTGAGGATTTAATTTCTTGTCAAATGAAAAACTAGGAAAATAGAAATAGACCTGCATATCACACCTAGAAAACCCTGTTTTAAGGCTTAAAAACTATTGTGTAAACATAGTAGGCAATTATAAATATTGGTGGAAAAATGAAGTGGAGGATTTGGGGTTATTTTAATGGCTTATTTTGGTTTATTTTAATGTATTGTTCCTCATCACAGGTAAGGCTACATCTGCATGGCACAATCTTGTGCCCTGATAAATACTTTCCCTTCTGAATGAGCTCATTTCTTAATGAGTTGTGTGGGAAAGACTTTATTAACTCAGGTTACATGGCTTCTGGTATCTAGATTAGATTGGGTATTGTGTGAAACTAGTTGTGTACCATACTGACATCTGACATACTCTGACATCAATATCCAGTTAGGCCAGACAATGTCTGAGAGTATGAGTTTCCAAAAAATGTCTGTGTTTCTGTATCTGTTAGGCATTGAAAATTCATTAGGTTTTCTGGATTCAGAAGTCAGAATTCTAACATCTCATTTGTATTTGTCCTTAAAAATATCATTGCTACTTTCTGCTTTACCAAAACATTAAATAAAAACTTTTATTGCATGAAAATCCTAGCTTAGAACTATGAGTATTTGCAGGTTTTGAAGTGCTGATGATGAGTGCAGTGTTAATGATCTGACAGATACAAACTCGTGGGTAAGTTTTTTCTCCAAGTAGAGTAATGTCTTGAATTTCTCTAGTTAATGTGAATTGGTATTTCATGTTCAGGGAGGTTAAAACTGAGAGTCTGGGATTCCTTGCATTTTTCTGCTTGTGATTGTGTGCTGATAGCCTGACTATGAACTTCCTTATGCAGGGCTGCTAGGAACTTCCAGTCTGAGTAGTTCTAGAAATGAGAAGTGATTGAGTCTCTGCACTTAAAAATGCCTTGTGTGCTTTTTGAAAAGACACCACCATCTGTTTTGTGTTGAATTAATTGTAGTTATTTCAGTGATGTCTGTGTCTGTGTCAGCAAGAGCAGAAAATAGCATTTTAATTTCAGGGATGTCTGTGGGTTGATTTCTAGCTGATTTGAAACAGGATATCTAAAGCACTACCTTTACCTCTGTTTTTGTTAGGTTTTCAGTCCAGAATTGAAAGGAGTATATACATCTCAGTATAGTGCTGTGCAGATTTCCAACTGAGACCTTGGTCCTTAATTTGTGGCCCATGTTCAAGTAGCCCATGAGGAACTCTGCATTCAGTAAATTTGAGATTGTGGGGTTTCTGGTATCTTTACCAGGACAAACATGAGTTGTGCTGTTCTGTGAAGTGGTAGGCTAGTCCTTTCAGCCCAGCAGTACATACAGATATTACATATATCAGAAGGCTTTTAGGGATTATGCTGAAGAAGTCCAGAGGTATTGTTTGTTCAGGGATGGAACTGATAATCACTGCTAAGTTGTTGTGTGTATCAGGTCCAAAACAAGATGAAGCTTTTTAAGTTTCTGGACTAACAATTCCCAAATCTATTTATTGAAAGACTGGTAAAGGGACAAGGAGATGGTGGGGCTCTGGCCAGATGTGGACTCAGCTATGTGTGATCAAAGTGGGAAATCTGCCCTGAACTATTCACACTCTGGGCCAACTCACACTCAGGGCTCATTTACGCCCCATGTTTCTTCCTCTTCTGCCTCCTCAGCTGATATGTGTTTACATCAAGTACTTGAGTAATGTTCTGTGACAAAAAATAGTACACTGACACACGGAATGATGGCTCTAAGTGCTGGGAGAGCGAAATGTCTTCATTCATAGCATAAGCAAAGGATTGTGCATTGCAGGTACAGTGCTTCTGTAAACAGTATAGACAAAAAAAAAAATTAGGCTAAATTTGAACTAAGATGTGAAAATGTCCTTGCAGGTGTGTGGAAATAAAAACGTGGAGCTTTGCAGCTTTTTTTACAAAATTTGAATTAGTTCATGTTGGGTATTTCCCTGAAGAACCCATTTGTACACATTTTAAGGTATCTATAAAGCAATAAGAAATTCTAATTTTGCCATGCCCTGTGTGCATATAAATATTGTGGATACACAGCCTAGCAGTCCATTAAAGTGCTTTCTTAAAATTCTGTACAATTGGATTTAGCTTTATCTGTGCTGTTTTATGCCAGAACAAAAGATTATGGATTATTCCATTATATATAACGGAAAATTATTCAGAAGTGTCAGTTTGAAGGTTTTGGTAAAATTACAGGTTTTGTAGGTGAAAAGTAATCTTTAGTACAACATAGTTCATAATTGTTTTGGGGATGTAAAGGCTCAGTATTTTAACTATGTCTTTATTCAGATTAGATTAGTTATTTTTATAGTAATTTTAAAAATATTGGAAATGTACATAAACATTTCCAATGCTGAACATTCCTGCTGATTCTAGATTATTTATTGACTCCTACAGAAGTAGCTAAAACTTCTTTCTCATGTCTGTGAGTGTTCAAGGCCACTTGAACAAGGCCAGGTTGGACAGGGCCCTGAGCAGTCTCATCTAGTGGGTGGCACCTTTGTCCATGGCAGGGGGGTTGGATCTGGATTATCTTTAAAGTCCCTTCCCACCCAAGCCTTTCTATGATTCTTCTTGACTTGCAGGCTGCCAATTGAGTCATAGTGCACTTCCAAAGCATGCAACTCTTAAATGGTCTTAACAAATTCTTCCCTGAATTAAATCTGGATATATTAAACTTGCAGGCTTGCTTTATTGCACAGTGAATGTTTTCTGATAGTATTCAGTATTTTGAGGAGGGTGAAAAAAAAGTGAGACAGGTTTCTGTGTCATATAGTATCTTGCTGCATCTGTTATGTGAAAAGTGGAATTTTGAATAACTTGTGTATGGTTAGTTGATGCTGTGATTTTTTTCCTCTTACTCCCTTTGTGCACAGTATCATATTTTTCTTTAATATAATGGGTTATAGCAGCTGTCTTGTAATCCTTGTATTATGGAAGTTACATGTGGCTCAGGATATTTGAATGCTTAATTATGCCTGACCCAGATCATGCAAAAATGTGAAAAAATTAATTGTATCAAAGCTGTTACAGGTAGTAGAATAAAATTGAATGGAATTGAGTAGAACAGTTCAGTTGGAAGGGACTTCCAGTGACTGCATAGTCCAACTGTCTGATGACTTTGTGGCTTACCAAAAGTGATCTTGCAGTTTTTGATTATGCAGAAGCCATTGCAGGAAAACCAGAATATATAAATTTTGGTCTGTCCAGCTGCTGAAAACCCACCAAATATAATATTAAATGCATGTTAAAAAGCCAAACACCTCCCTTTTGCCCCAAAGCACAGACATGTTTGGTGTTGTAATTTTGACCATATTTGCTTTCCAGTGAAAAATATAGTGAAAGATTTCCCCATGTTCAGGAAGCTTTGCAGCTACTAGTAACTTTTCTATATGCTCTTAAGTATTTTTCAATGTCTCCACTTAAAAAAATTATTAATTGTGGGGAGGAAAAGGAAATTAACTGCACTGAAAAAATACAGTATTGGCAATATTATCACAAAAATCCTGAAGTGAAGCCTTAGTACTGCATTTCTGTCTGACACTTTTGTAAGTACTCTGCTTATGGTGTGCCCCTTAAAATCAGGCTTGGGTCTGTTGTTTAGGAGTATATTTGCTGTAGCCATGATCTGCAAAAAAGACCTGTTACTGTGAATACTAGTAAGACTAAACCATTTGTTTCCACCAGGATGAAGCATTCTGAACTCCAAAAGCAGTCAGCATATATCACAGGTAATTCTCACCTATGCAAACCAGACTTCTATGTTTAAATCAGAACTTCAGCAATGCTGAAGGTTTAAACCCCAACTTTAGGAGCTTGTATTAGAGAGTGGAATGGAAAGTCTTGAAGCTTTCTGTACTATTAATTTATAAGGAGTTCACTCTTGGTTTAGGCTGAAAGCTGTTTCTGTCTCTGTTCTTAATACTTAATTTTTCAAATTTTTAGACCTTAGCTAAATCAAATGCTGTATTTTTTCTCATCTTTGAAATGTTTATTTTTCTAAGGAAATCAGTGTTTTTAAATACACTCCAAGGACATTGTGTTCAGGCACATGTACTTAAAATTCTTGTAAGAGTTGTTTTTAAGAGCACACATTCCTTGTATCTTTGCCTGATTGCAAAGTCACGTAGCAGTGAATGACTTTGCTAGATGAAGTTCAAAATCATGAGCTCTACAAAATGAGAAATACACAAACTACAGTTTAGAAAGAAAAATTATATTCAAATGCTGGTTTCTCCAATTGGTCTTGTAATACCTTCTTGCTTGTTTTACAGAAGTAAACACTGAACCCATGAACATAAGGATATCTTTCAGTTCCATTGCAGCTGGAGTCAGTGACTTCATACTGAACAAGGTTGGTTTTTAGACTACAGTCCATGACAGTTTGTAACAGTGAGAAATGCATGTTTGTGTGAATACATAGCCATGTGTACTTGTAATACAGACTTATCTGTATCTATGTATGCACAGGTTTAACCTGCAGCTGACATGATATGGAAAACATTTAAGGAATTCTGTAAGATTTGTGGAAAAGAAGTAATTCTGAGAAAATACACTAGCACTTACATCTACTGGAAAATGAGAATAGTGTGCTTTTTTAAACAAGAAACATTATTATGGGGACAGTAAAATAAAGTTTTATGATAGCTGATTTTGGAGTCACTGATTCCTTGAATCTTACAACTGGGCAGTTTTCCTGTAAAGTTAATGTTCCCCTTTCAATCCTGCTAATTTTACTAAATTACTTATGTTACAAATGAACTGCATCACAGTATTTTAATTGTGTTCATAGTAATTTTAAAAATAGTTGCTGGGGATAGGACATTTAATTATATTTTATCAGTAGGAAAGCATTAGCTCTGCTGTGAGTGGTAGCCAGCAAGGCCATCTGTGATGCCTTTCAGTTCACTCACTCTGAATTGTTCAGATAAAGACTGTCAAGTGCTGCCTAAATAAGGAAGGAGCCGTGGTAGGGTTAAGTGCAGTGGAGGACACAAATGGAGCATTGATTCCAGGCATGCTGGAGGGTCTGAGCTGTTTCCTGCAACACTGAACCTTTTAAGAGTTTTCATTGTTTCCTGCAAAGTATTAAAATGCGAATGTCTGCCATTCAAGATCTCAGGGAGGATGAAAATGAGGATTGGGAAGAGGAAGAAAAGGTGAGTTAAACCCCAGTAGTTTTGCAAACTATTATTTCCTTCCATTTTTACTCTTTTGGACACTAAACATGCAATGATTACCTTTCTCTTTCAGGTCTACCTCAAGCCTGTTATTGAGGACAGAAATATGGAACTGGCCCGAAAATGCAGTGAATTAATAAGTGATGTAAGTGATGGTGACTATTTTTATCTTCATATTTGAATTTATTTTTTCAAATGCATTTAGATTTATGATACATATTTTCTCAAATATGCACAGTGTAGCATGTGTCCATCCAAGGCTCAAATAATAAAAGCACACAAAATAATAAAAAACCACATATTACTCCAGTACCATAAATTATCAGCCACAGAAGAATGGGCTTTTCAGAGCACTGGGATGGTAGGAAGCATAGGCCCTAGAAAGGAGTGTTTCAAAATGTGGGTCTCAGGGAGAGGGTGTCTGCATGAGAAGACCTTGGCTGCTTTCATCAGGAAAATGTGGTATTTTTTTTGGTTGTTTAATTGGTTTGATACAGTTTAATTGGTTAAATGCAGTTTAATTGGTTTGAGCAAAACTGGCTTCCAGTATACATAGCAGTAAGGAAGGAAGTTAAAAATAAATTTTTAATGTTATCTTTGTTTTGTACTGATGGATGTCCAAAACTGCTCAGCATGTTGTTATTAACTATGCTTACAGGACAAATCCACTGAAATGCTAGAATATATATTAAAAATATTTAGCTAGCTAATTCTTAATTTAGTTAGTATAGATTTTTAAAACTGTGGATCAGTTATATAAACATTGTATAAACATCATAGATCAGGTCTAAGACATTTTAAATTGGAGTAGATCTGATTGCTTCAATTTAACGGGATCAGATTTACCTTGATGGAAATTTATTTTTGTTTCTCTCTTGGGACAGTGTGTCTGAAATGTAACTTTGTCTATTCATGGGTGTATGGGTATAAAGAGTGATATTTCTCCTGTGAGAAAGCTGGCAGGAGAGGAGACCTTTCTGAGGAGAGAGTGACTTGCTTCAAGAAATGTTCTAAAGAAACCAAAAAATAGTGTCTGGTTCATGTTGTGTTGTAATCTGGTATATAGGTGTGGGTTGTTGATTTAATGGGAATAGAACATACAAAATCTACATTTTAGGTATAAGTTTTTAGAATTTTAGAATGGTGTGTTAGAAAAGAATAGCTAACTCAGAAGAACAGTTACAGTGCTGGCTTGAAGGTGTGACTTAACAAGGTCAGAGTTTCCTCTTTCCTGTTGTCCATACACTGCCTACTTCAATTTTCACAGAAAGAGTGCTGAAAATTGGATAGATCCTTAAGAGAAGCTACAAAGATGGTTCCTTTGTAAACTCAGCCTACTTCAGGAAGTAGTAAAGGTTGATAATATTCTTACAGATAGATGTATACATGCTTTCTTTGGGAAAAGAGGGCATATTGTGCATTAAGTGCCTGTCAACTCATGTAAAGGCAAAAATGAAAATGGACCTGAAGCACTTACATGACCCAATATACATTTATTGCATATATGCAGCTTCTTTCTAAAAATGGTCGCTGTTCTTAAAGACAAAAACTTCTTGAAAAATGCTGAAGAAATCTTTCTTTAACTGAAAAGGAATTATTACTCTCCTGTGTACCCATTAGGAGTAATGTTGGTTGTGGCTCTTAATTAATGGATAAATGGAGTGGCTGTATTTTCTTGGATTTTCTGCAGGGACTTGAGAGCTAAGGCGAATAGCTAAGTCAAGCCAGGCTTCTACAGCTTATAATGGTTCAGGGATGTGGGCTTTTGCTGAAAACTTGTGATGCGTTTAGCCTTCAAGTGTGTTAGATTTTCCTTGAGATATGTCAGGCATAATGGCAAAATGTTATTAATGCTTTCAAAGCAAGAACAATATATAATGAACCAGACCAATCTAATTTCAAAAAAGAGGCTCTGTGTTTAAAAATAACATCCAGTTTTTGGAGCTTTATTCAGCCTCTGATGAAATCACTAAGTTTTTCTTCATTGGCTTGAATGGAATATGCATAGAATATGAATTTTGACTCTCAGAGTTTTTTTCTGTAATGAAATTTCTTATGACCAGTGAAGTCCTTTGTGCCTGGGTGTAAATTCCTCACCCTGCACATTTCATTGTGGAGACCAATAAATTGCAAGGAGTTTGCATTCTTACCTTCCAATTTTTGCTTGTTGACATTCAGAACTTTTTATATATTCCTTATCCTTTTTAGCATGAACCTTTGCCCATACTACTGTTTGTGTGGATTTATGATTGGTATACATTTGTACATTTTATTTGTACAGTGGTTTTGCAGCGCTTACAGTTTGGCCCTCAGATGACCTTGGGGAAGCAGCCTGTGTCCTTGCTGACCACGAGACTGGGTGATTGTCCTTTTCTGATGGTGGAGCTGTCAGCACAACTCCTCCATCAGAATGCAGAGCCAGGAGTGCACATGCCTGAGATACTGGGGTTGTATTATGCTTGTTCTGCATTCTTTTCAGGCTGACTTAAATTTGGCAATATGGTTTTGAAAAAGTGTTACACTGGCAGCCCTTGGTTAACCTGTAATTGCCAGCCTTGAGCTGTAAGTAGGGGAAGTTGTGAAGTGTATATGTGTTCCAGTTCTTGAGAAAATCCCCAATTTCGTTTGAAGTTGGCAGATGTTTGTTCTGTGGCTGTGATACCCCCTGGACTGGTTCTCTCGACAGTTGTTCCATTTAATCTCCCTCTATTATGAAATTGTATTCCACAGATGTTTTCAAAACTGTCATGTGTGTTTGATTTATATGAATTGCCTTCCTCTCCAGGCCTTTTCTCTTCCACATTGAAACTGAGCTCGTCCATTTGCTTGTAGTGTATTTTCATCTCTTCTTTGTTTTGATTGTGTGCTGTGATGTTGTCAGTACTGTTATAAGCAGAGATGGGGACAATTACAGAAGGTAATTGACCAAACTGTTATAATCCTTTTTGGTAGAATGGCAGACACTGCCTTCTGAAGATTCTGCTGAATTTTGGTAATGAGTGTTACCAGCACTTCTTTTCCTCTAAAGCATAAAATAGAACTGCTTGCCATTTATGTCCTTGCACAGAGCCCAACTTTGCTTTGGGATGTCTCTGTTATAAAGCAAAGTCCCAAAAGACTTTTTGTCTTTTTTAGAGCCAATAGTGGAAACCCTGTGATAAACTAACAGGGTTTTGACTACCTAATTCTGGCTGCAGCTGTTCCCATGGACTCACCATTACTAGTCACAGCCTCTAAGTCAAGAGGACCCTTCAGTCTGAAATAGCTGGAGATTACTAAAATACTATGTATTTTAGTAATAATACTGCATGCCTGTCATTTTCTCTTGCTTTTCTCTAGATTCCTATGGCCCCAGAGAAAGGATTCTGTATTAGATGGATGTGTGGTCTGACACAGTCCTTAGTCTTATAAGATATTATAAATTCAGAAATGTAGGTTTGGAAAGTGAATCCTTAGTGGAAAGAGGTTTCCTTTTGTTCTAGCATAAAAGCTAGATAAGAAGGTTCAGACATTTTTGTTGTTTTTCTAAACATAAATGGGTATTTTGGATATGATGGTTCAACAATGGGTCTTGGCACGATGACTGTTGACATGGTTACGCCATTGATGTTAAGATTATTTAGAATAGTTTTTTGAGTATATTCATATTAAAGTTAGATGAGGATGTGTCCCTGAATAAAAGGAATGGTGGCTGCTTGGATTATGCTGTTGCTCTTGGAGGGTTTCCTTTAGCCCATAGTCTCCCTTCTGTGTTTCCCTCTGAAACAGGCCAATGAAACAGGCCATGGGTGAGATGAATTTTCTTGGTGAACCAGGAAGCTTTGGCTTAAAGGTTGGATGCCCTTGTTTGATAAAGCTGATCTTCCATACAATATTCATTAAGAAAAAATGCAGCTTGAAGCTTACTGTTTTGGTGGTTGTCTAGGAATTTTAATCCACTTTGCTGTATAGTTGTGCTGTGGTCAGAGTTGGTTTTATGATGAGTCAGGGAGAAGAGGAGGATCTGGAGAGAACTATGAAAAATGGGGCCTTTAGTGAGCTTTAGAACTATTGAACTTCAGAAGTAAAGAACAGTGGCTCCAGGCCATCATTTTCAAATTTTTCCTCTCTGTTTTTTTCACAAGGCTTACCAGATCTGCTCAACCTCAGCAGTGTATTTTGTGGTGCAGGGTAAGCCACTTGCAGGCAAAATTTCCTATTCAATATTTCAGACATCTGAATTTTTAATTACAGATTTTGAAGAGGAATATTGGCTTTTCTACCTATTCATTCTAGCCATTATGTTCAATAATAGTCAACATCTTGAACATCTTCCTTGCATCATTTACACTAAATGTGTTTTATAACTGCAGGTTCATGACTTCATTATACTTACCCCATTTCATCTTCCATCTTTCTGATTCCAAGCAATATGGACAATACTGTAGCAGAATGGAGTTTATTGGATCAGAATTTGACCAAACATTTTGTTATATGTTCTCTCTAAATTGCATATTTGAGTCTGTGTGCATTTTGTGGCTTCTATGGGTATAACTAATGTGAATAATAAAGGATTAAGGAGGTGGCATTAGTCATTTACTGCTTTCAATTCTTTTGAAAGCATGACTTCTACAGCAGAGGAGCTTTGTTTCTTCTAGTCATGTTCTGTCATTCCTCCAATTAAGAGATACCTTATGAAGCTTTTGTGTTTGATTCTTGAATGTAATTATTGCTCTGCAATTAAAATGGATATAATTACAGTCAGCTTTCAGATGTCTGTGGGTGATTTATCTAAGTTGTGAGCAGGAAGACTCTCTGTCTCCTCTGCCAGAGTCACAGCTTTACAGAAGTTTCTACTGGGAATGCCGTCAAACTCATCCAGTAGACAGTCAGCTCTGTAAACTTCCCATGTGTGTGCATGTTGAACAGTAAGTGACTGCTCACGTTTATCATAAAAATGCCTTTTTTGTGAGTTGCTCTGTGATTACCTGGGAGTATGATGTCACACACAGGTTTCATGAGTGAGTACATGTGAGTCCCTGAGTAAAGTCATGACGCAGAAATGTTACAGTCATGTTACACCCATTGTTCACCTAAAAGGTTTTCTCAAGAAAATACTCTAATCCACAAAAGCAGATGATGTGATTTGGAAGTGACATGTAGATTCTTTCAGTAGTCCAAATCTGAATGGGCTCCATATCAACCAAAATTGTTTCTTGTGTGAGGATTAAGTAGTCATGAGTTTGAGATGAATTTGGCATTATCTAATTCATTTTTCAGTAGACACAAACTTTGCCTTAGAAAGCTCAAGAGCTGATTCTATGTAAGCTGCCATCCTTCTCGTAAGTTTTCCAAGTCCCTGTAGAGGAGTGTAGACTAGAACTTGTGATATCCATTAAGGATTCAGAGAAAGAGGATATTAAGGCTGCATATTTCTGTAATGCTCAGATGCAGATCATATTGCTTCTGTCAGTGCTTGTCAGCAAGCCTAGAGTGCATAAATTCAAGCTGCTGTTATGCAGAATGTGAAAATGAGGTTAGAGAGATAGTAGCAGATAATAACCATGAAAGCTTAGTACTAAATAATTCAATTTGCATTGATCTAAACAATTCTCTGTAGAAAGAAAGAAATGTCACTGAAAATGTCTAAGGCTATCCATGTAAAGTGTCTGTCTTTGAAACTTATTTAGTCCATCTCATCATAATTTACCATCTTTCTTCATGCAGTTCTTATATAATGAATGTTCCTACATGTTAACCATGTCCTTAGATTTTATCCTTCTTGCAGTCTCACTGAGACAAACAACTCTGATTTCAGCAACACTCATGTAATTATTATACCTACCCATGCTGTTTGCCCCATTGTAAGAAAAAGGCTGGTTGTTTAAAAAAAAAATAATAAAATTTTGTTTTGTTTTGTTTTGTTTTTGTTTTTTCTAAATATGTCATAGTGTTCTGGTGGTTTTTTCTGTGGTTTCCTATGTGCATACACATTTAAAAAAATGCCTCAATTTAAAATTTGTTAGGTGCTAAAGAAATTCTGTTATTGCTTGAATGTCATGAATGTTGGGTGCTTTGTAGGCAATGGTTTGGCAGTGGCCTCCCAAATTTATTCATGTAACTCGGATTCATGAAGGGGCATTTGATGATATACAGATTCTGTGCTTGCTAGGTGTGTGTTAGATGTTAAACAATTTTTATCTTTGAGATCAAGGATCAAGGAGATCAATTCTTAGATTCTTCTTTCTTTAGAGATACTAAAACATGTACAACAGTAGTGAGAATGTGCTCTACATGTAGAGAAAAATCCTGTCTTTTTATCTATATTATTAAAGAGTTCTGTGACTTTTACATAGCCCTGGTAATGTGTGTGAGAACTGGTAGCTTCCCTTTATGGTTTAATTTGATCCAGCCGGAGGTATTTGCAAGCTGCCCAGCAGAGTATCATGAATAAAATAAAATACAAATAATTTAAAAAATATAAATATAACCAATGTTTACTTTTCTGTTTGTGTGTTTTTAAGAGCAATTAAACTTCTTTTTTCTCCTCTTTGTAGATACACTATAAAGAAGAGTTTAAAAAATCTAAAGGCAAGTGCATATTTGTACCTGACACCCCGCAGCTAAAACATGTGAAAAGCCTTGGTGCTTTTATTTCTGAGGTAAGATCTAAAAGACTGAAGAATTATTGGCTTCTTATCCTTCCTAAAAACTATTTCTGTTGAATACTGTGATTTTTAGCAGGGGAAGGATGGCTTATTTCAAATAATAATTCTGTTTAAAGCTGAAGTGACTTAAAAGGCTGTAATTAGTGTATACTGTAATGTGAATAATAATAATAATAATAATTTGGAATTACGTGACACTTTTATTTTGGGATTTGAAGATTCTTTATTAATGCTTCTGAGCCAGTCCTAGCTATCCCATTTTATGTGTGGATAAACTGAGGAATAGGAAGGAGTATTACTTTTTCTGCAGTGATGAGGTTTGCAAATTACACCTGTGCAAAATTTCCCTGCTGTGGAGATTTCATGGCCTGAAATCAAACAGGAGACAAGGAAAACGTTTCCATGTTATCATCCCTGTCCTCCTTCAGCAAAGGGCCTGGGGCAGACATCAGGTCAGTGTCACCTGTGGGTTGCCTGAGCACTTGCATGCATATCTATCTATCTATCTATCTATCTATCTATCTATCTATCTATCTATCTATCTAATCTATCATCTGTCTGTCTGTCTATCATCTATATCTATCTATCTTTATCTATCCATCCATCCATCCAATCTATCTAATCTCTCTCTCTCTCTCTCTCTCTCTCTATCTCTCTATCTCTATCTCTCTCTCTCTCTATCTCTCTCTCCCTCTCTCTGCATACCTGAGACATGTACACACACACAAACAACTGTAGTGGCAAAGTAAGATCAGCAGCTTCCAGAGTGTTCCAAAGCAGCATTTACTGCCAGCTCTTCATGTCCCAGGTACAAGGTGCTGTAGGATTGTACTTCTGATTGTTTTCCACAGGTAAGACCAGCAGCAGAAGTTTCACCTGAGAGAGAGTGGCTTTGTTTAGGAGTCGCTGGTTCTGGGTGATTTTTCTGTCATTATGGCCCTTCAAAAAATGAAAATTTTGCTGCCTCATTTTTTGTGCCACCTTAATGATTCTAATAAAAAAAGTCCCAGTATGGCTGTCTAAGGTTACATAACATAGGCATTCTAAATTCTCTTTCTGATATATAACAGTTTGCTTTGTGGCTTTCAGTATAAAAGCATCTAATGAATACTTTTCTTGTATTTATCTTCCTGTTCTCTTAGAAGGAGTGGTATGTCCCAAGGGAAGTAAATCTGATGTAATTGCATTTTATGAGACAGACTATCATAGTCTACAAAAATACAATACATAGAGAGTATTTATCTAATCCATCTGTCTGATTCCAGAGAATCTGCTGCTAATTATTAATCAAAGATTTAGAGATATAAAATATTCTAAAATTTTAAACCCTGTAGGTTTGATATTATCACACTTTTGAGCACTCTGCCTGTTTATTGCAGCATTACCTGAAGCCAATGATGTGATGGATGGTTTATCTTGTAAATTACTGACCTCTAGTGTCCCATAACCTGTATTTGCAAATCTTGGACACTTACATTCTTAACAGCATGGCCATTGCAGTGAAAAAGAGCCCTCTGTTTTCGGGAACAGCAGCAAATGTTACAGGAAATTATTGATATATATATACATATAATACATTTGGGGAATTAGCCTCTAATGAAGAACTGTATATTTCACAGTAAGTGACATTAGACAGTATAATTGAAAATATTTTTAATATTTATGATTACTTTCACAGCAGTGTTGCCGTTATTGTTTTACGAATTTGGAGAACTTAGATCTGAAGCAAAAGCCTCACACATTTTGACCTGTTCTTCTGGTATATCTTGTAAAACTTCTTTGTGAGGAACTGTCCATACAGAATAATGGAGGAAACACAGGATAAATAAAATGTAACTTAAGAATGAGACTGTAATATGATGATGGCAGACATGCTAACTTTAATATCCCTCTCCTTCGTAGCTACATTCAATTGCTACTATGTATTAGTTGGCAAAATATTTATGGTTGGCCTCTCATTTGCTCCCATTTTGCAGGACTCTGGAAAAGAGAGGAAAAGTAATTTTTGGATTTGAAAATGATCTGAAAAAGGATAGAAAAAACTGCCTTGCTTGTTTTATTTTCTATTTCCACCAAAACTACTGAATTTAATTAGGGCATATTTTGCATTGCTTTGTGAATTATAAATATCCCCATAAAGTATTATTTAAAGATGTTTTTACTTGAAATTTAGTGACAGCATTAAATTTTTCCAGTTCTGGTCTATGCCATTTTACTTACTAGAAAAAATAAGTAGTATGTTTACTGTATCTTCATTTTTGCATGATGTGTCACCTTTTTCTGCCCTCTAGGTGAAATATAAAGGAGATGCTAAGAAAGACCTTTCCAACTCTCTTTATCAGCAGATGCCAGCCACAATTGACAGTGTATTTGCGAAGGAATTAATGCACCTTCAGAGCAAGGTACAACAAGGAATTGCAAAAATGATTTTTAGATTAATTGTGTGTCAGAATAAGTACACTTTGAACAAAATATTTGAATGGATACTTGATTGTCTGCTTGATTTATTTTGGTGAGTTTATCATCCAGAGCTTATCACCATAAGTTCTTCAGAGACTACTCCTTTTTAAAATGTTGACAATTTTACTTATGTTTATTAAATATACATTTAAAAGCTGGTAATGCATTCATCAATCCAATGAAATCCACAAATGCAATAAGGAATTATTGAATTCATGACGTTGCATGGTCCTTATAGAATGGATCAATTTTATATAGCTTCTTCCAGTTGGGTGTTGTATTATCTATATAAAGTGTTTGATGCTGAAGGCAAAAGAAAAAAACCAAACCGATCTTCTTTAATGACTTATAAATGCACTTAGTGGTAGCAGTAAATAAATTTCGGGTGGTCTGCATACTACTACTTACAACAAATTTTACAAAATTAAAATATGAAATCAAGTGTATTGAACATAGTGTAAAGCTTGTAAACAACCAGTAAAATAGTAAATTCTGGTTCAGTTGCCTTCAAGGACTCAAAAATGTAATACCCTAACAGTAGGCAAGTGACCCTTCACTTCCACTGACCTCAGTGGAATTGCAAATGTTACGTGTGTGTGATATGAATGAGGTTACAGATTTTCATTGTTACTCATGAGAATCATATAGATGGTCATTGCTTTCGGTCCACCAAACATTTCCATGGTTTTCTTGTTTTGACTTTCTCCTCTCTTAAGGATAGCAACTACATATAGTTTAGTACATGAAAGGAACATGCTTCTAAATCCATAATATTGATTGTATCTCAATATGCATTCTTATAATGCTGTGATACTTTTCCAGACAAAGGAAAATACTCATAAAAAAAGAATGGACTAAAATCTCAGGACAGCTTGTGGAGAAATGTTTTGTTATAAAACACTATGTTAATCAAGGCTATATTAAGCAAATATAATAACACATATTTTTGTTTTCAGAGTTTGAAAAGGAACATATATACACAAGTTAAAGCACCACAGTAGATGAAATGACATTAATGTGACAGTTCATTGTAAAGTGAATGATTAGAGGAATTACAGAAAAAATAAATTGGGAATTAAACTTGTATATTTTTAAGCCATTAGCTTGATTTGTAAAACATTAGTTAACTATTTTGCCACAGACTCCCAAATTCATTCCAAATTATTAAATTCTACATTAGTTTACACAAATGAGGTTAATTAACTATAGTGTTGTGGCAGAAAATATAAATAACTGAAACTAAAAATGAAACCATTGGTTCATCAAAAAACCCTTTTAAGATAAAGACTGACATTTTTGCTTGATAGTTTTTGAAGGTTTTCTTCAGTTATCCAACAGTTCTAGAGAAAAAAAAAGCATATAGGGTGAGTTATATTTAAGCAGAAATTTTTCCCATAAAATTCATACTATCCCCTTAGGAGTAGATGCATTATAAATCATAATATACCATAAAACTTAAAGATACGCTGACACATTTTTCCAACTTGTGGTTACTGCTGCAATGGACCTGAATTTAATGCTACTTTGAGAGAGATCTCAGGGGATTTTCTAGTGAAAAATCTTCTCCACAGTATTCAAATCTAATCCATATTGTGCCTATCACTGCAGTACCTAAGTAGCTAATACAAGGATTTCAGATTTCAGCTGGGTCAGGATATGGCAGAGGGGGTTTCTGCTGCATCTGTCTAGCTGGGATTGTGAATTTACCAGTCATGACTTCAGGAGGAGACTACAGATATGCCATAGGAAGGAGACAGAACAGCATCAGCTGGCCATTGTGCCGGCTCTGCTCCAAAAAGGCTGCTGCAGTCACAGAATTGCACTCTGTTTCTGAGTTATAGTAACCTGATTTTAAAATAGGTGCTGATTTCCTGAGAGGTGGAAAATATGAGTACGTGTCCTCCCTACCCACATTAGAGCGAATTTGCACCTTTGACTCCCTTTTCATTCTTCCTGGATGCAATGCTGGGCTGGAGTGCTTTTGTGGGCAGATCAAGCAGGACTCTTCTTGTTCTGTGGTGCCGTGTTCTTGGCAGGATCTGCAGCCTCATCTGCCAAGCAGGTGCATTGGGACTGGAGGATCATGGTGTGGAGGAAGGAGAGCCCCTGACCTTCCTCCCTGCTGCCTGCTGCCACAGGCTGGGGTGCCTGTGCCAGAGGATCTCCTTGCACAGGTGTGTCCTCCGCAAACGGGCTCTCCCACGATGCAGCTTGCTCTGGAAATGCTGCTGCTGTGCTGCCCTGCAGCCCTGCCTCCAGCCTGCCTATAGCTAGCCCAGTCCAGTAATTTGATACACCATTTCAAATCACACACATGATTTAGGAACTTGGAGACAACTAGGGGGAATTTCCTGTTTTTCTCAAGGAGTTATACCCCACCTGCAGCTGCCCTCCCTTGCTCTCTCCAGAGGCAACAGGCTGGCCCAAGCACCATTGACCACGTTTGCATTCTTTAACTGGTGGCAATTGTCAGTTATTTCAGCAGAGCAAGGATCTCCTTCTTCAGGGGTCCTGCCGTTGTTGACATAAAGATCTTGCTGTAATGGAGAGTACAGCACCCTGACACATGTGGATCTCTTCCTGCAGAACCTCTTTCCCATATTGTCTGTATTGAGTCATACTCAATTCTCTCTTCAAGATGCGCAGGAAAGCCTGAAGCAAGACTGCCTGCTAGCTTTTGCATGAAACCCATGTTTGCTCTTTTGTGTTTTATGTAGAGCTGGCATGAAGAAGGAAATAAATACCCTTAGAGAATGACATCTATCCAAAACTGACAAAAAGAATCCCAATGCTGTTTATGGGAAAACATGTTTCAGGAAAATGGATAAGTTTCAAAGCTCCACATAATTGGGTGGCTTTTATCAATTTAATTTTTTTCCTCTTCACAGAAAATTGGACTGTGGCCTTCTAAATGCCTTTCTTGAGAGTGAGCAACCAGATTTGCCTCCCTCTCTCACTTTTGTCATTGCTGTCCCCATGGTAAGCTTGAAAGAGAAGTCCCTCTCATCACTGAATGATTTCACTCTCTTTACCAGCCTACAAAGCTCTCACCAATTTCCCTGTTTTCTGCGATGGGAAAATAAATTTGATGAGAGCAGTCTAGGCAGGGAGCCTTCATTTTGATTTTTCTGAAAGGAAATGGAAATTTTTGGAGAAATTTCAATATTCCTATGGAAAATACTGCTGAAGGAAAATTTCTAATCATTGCTAGCTCTGTGCCAAGTATTTTTCTTGTCTGAAGATCAGTATGCTGAATAGTTCCCTATGTAAAACAATATTTTTTTTAATAAGGTGTCACAAACAATGATAAAGATATTTAAAGTTGCTTGGGGGGAAACAAAGTTGAAAAAATGTAAGCAGTTCATCACTTTTTTCATCACTTTATTTCTGCCATACGAAGTGATTACACTGTTTTTCTTCTTTTCTAAAAGGGATAATCTAAAGCAAACTGAAGGCAGTTTAATTTTCTACTTTGCACAGGGCAATATCTCAAAGAGTCAATGTTGAACAGTATTTCCTGTTTCTTTATAAAGGCGATGGGCCAAGAGAATCTTAAGCAATGTTTTCAACTTCCAGAGGACGTTTCAGAGGTTTTTTTTTTCACTACAATAAAAATTTTGTTGTTTATTGCATTGTTTCCAATCACATTGCACATTATCAAATTGTTTTATGTAATTTTTCACATTTTTTTTTATGGTAGGAAATGTCATATTCAAGATTTCCTCTGTTTTGTGGTGGCAGGTATTAGTTTTCTGGACTCCCATAGTTGTTTTACACAAATACATTGGCTAATCTAATTCTCTATATGGTGATTAAAGTGATGTTTTTGGTGTTCTTGAACATTTCCTCCTCCGAAATCCTACCTTGTGGATTTTAAGTTCAGAGCACATCTTACTGACTATAAAGGGAAATAGAAAAATGTAATAGTGTTTAATGTATGCCGAGACAGGGTATCAGTCAGAGCTGGGTTAAAAGAGCACAAAACCTTCCTTAATGCAGCTTCCTATTGACACACTGGTGTAAAAGAGAGAAGAAAAATAAAAAATGAGTACTTACAAATTGGTTCAATCTGAAGTCATACCTACTTAAATAATTACCTTGTATTTCTCAAGTTAATAAATGGGACTACTACAGGGTAAAGGTTATGTCAGTGACCTATAATGCTTGATCTCTGTGTAGAGTAGTTTTGTATGTAGATTTGATAAAGGAAATTCAGTTTAACCAGAACTTGAAAATCAACATGTGTTGAGAAATGAATGTATGCATACTAACCTGTAAAATAATGGTTCTAAGAATATCGATGAAATAATAATAAATCTTTTTTCATGGTTTCATGGCTTACTTGGAAGCGATTTACAAATCTAGGAATAGTTCTGCACTAAACTGTCCCAAACTAAACTAGACAGCCATTGCACCCCTCCTAGCCTAGGACTGCATCAAGACTATTTCAGTGAGTTAATGAAAATAATGGGAAAAGATAGGAAGAACAAATGTCAAAGCAAGTGAAATACTGCTACATTAAGCTAAAGAAAGGGTCATCTTTTCCCAAGACAGCCAATACTCATAATTTCTGTTAAATTTCTCATGCTGAGAGTTGATGCTTTACTGTGTTTTCATATCTTGGTGACACAGCCCATTCACCAAAGGAAAAACGGAGCTGTTGAACCAGCAAAATGGCAATGTAATAAAATACCTGTAAATTAGTAGACTTTGGAAGTAACTGTATTGGTCTTCTGTTCATAATGGCATTAGGTGGGGAACATCTTAAAACTGACAGTGTAAGCAAGGAGAATTAGCAAAAGAGTTTTTGTGGCATATGTTTGTACAGTAATTACACTTTTGTGGGGAACCATTTGTTAGTGGTGCTTCAGTCGTGTTAAAGATTAATGTGCTTTTCCATTTGCAAGATGTAACCAGTGCCTGCAAGTTATGGACTCTTTCTTTCACTGTCAGCTGTGTTTGTTCCTGCAGAGGGATGTTTGTGTCACACTGGATAAGGAGGTGGCACATTTTAAGGTTCCTGATTTGATACTTTTGTTCAATTTGTAGCAGTGCAAAAATACCCTTCCCCCCCTTGTCTTAATCTCTCAACCTGTATATAATTTTGTAATCTGAGATAGACAGGGCAGATACTAATTTATTGTTTTGGGCACACTACTCTGTAACTCAGAACAACTTTTGCTTTAAACGAAAACAGATACAGCATTTTCTCACAGTTCTAGTATCCTGTCCTAAAAGAGTCTGAATCTCTGTAGTTGAGAGTTCCTGTCTCAAAACTTTCACAGTATTCTTTTATTGCTATCATGGGTTTTCATGTCAATCCTTCTCCTCCTAATCAGCTTTCTATCTTATTTAATACTCGCTGTTTTATTATGGATTATTTTAATGTTTGCTCATGAGAGCTATTAGAAAATGAATTTTCTTGATGCTTGCTACTTTTTAGGCATAAAAACCTGGTGAATTTTCCTTAATATAAGCCTAAAAGCTTCTGACAAGGATAAGTGTAAGATCAGCTTTTCAGGCAGTTGGAGTATGTGAATGTATGTATGTAAGTATAACACAGTACAGTGAAAGATGGATGAATGCCCAGCATTGAGTTCCATTTCTGTTATAAAAATAAAGGTGTTTATAAATTCACAATTCAATTCCATTTTCATTTACCATGATGACAATTGAATGTAAATATTATTTTTCTTTGCGAACCTGGGGCTAAGTCAAAATGGGTATTGTGCTGGTAGTTTCCCAACAGTGGAAAAATAGAACTTTGGGCAATGGGTATATAATGTAAAACTGTTTGTTTATGACAAATGCATAAAATATTTTTTTTTTTGTTTCTGAAAACGGAGAATAATTATATAGCTGATAGCTTCAAGTGTGTTTAAAAAAAAAGTGGCTTGTGCTTATGCTTTTCCCTGGGCTGTCTTCTTACCTTGTTAAGCTTAATTTTCTGGTTTTGTATATTACTATTTCTTTCCCTCTTTTACTCATGCATCTACTCATACATCTGTTGCAATAACAGATGCAGGGAAATCTTTTTGCTGACTATGCCTCATATGTCTCTGTTTTGGGTGGAAGCTGCTCTCATTTCAGTTTTCTGGTTCCATTAAGGAGCTTAATTATTTATTTTGTTTCTTCCTGAATACAGGTACACTATGCCACTAGGTTTAACCTAGCTCATGTTATTATACCTGCTCTTCTCTGGCCACAAAAGTATAATGTTGCTCTTTCCAGGTTCTCTATAAACAAAAACATGATGCTGAGAAAGGATTTTCAGACTATGCACGTATGAGGGAACCTCCAGATGTTAAACATGCCATGGAAGTCAGTAAACACCAGAGTGATGTAAGTACTCCCACATCTGAAACAAGTGTGCTTGTTTTGGGTAGGTATATCTGTTATAGCTTACTGAAAGGAACTGGGCATAAAACAATTCCATATTTCCTTAGTTGGTATTTTTTATAAATTATTTGCTCTGAAGTAATTTAGGACATGGTGTGTGTATAAAATATGCTATGAGTAACAGTATGTGAATTTTATTCTGAACTGCGGTGGGAAGTGGTAGTTACTGTCTACCAATAGTAACTGTTATTAAGTGCTACCACTTTGAAATAAAATTGCAGGCATAGGTTTTCTGAACTCACTTGTAGCTACTTTTACTTTTAAAGTGTATAAAGGTCTTTGTTTAAATGAACACCAGTGTTGTTTCAGTGTCTTAATCTGCCAATACTTGGATAGTTCTTCAGGGGTGCTGTGTAGAGGAGACAAGTGAGCTGTTTCTGCCCTGCTCTTGCACACTTTTATGTGAATAAGTGTATTCCTGTCTCATGAACACATATCAAGTGAATTTTCCAAAGAATTTAATAGAATAAAAAATATAAATAAATATGATCTATTTTACAGAATTTGAGCTGTAGTGTTCTGTTTGATGCCTGTGCTGGTTTATACCATTTGACCAAAGATTTGTTCTTGTAGTTTTATTTAGATAACTTACAAATAATTAGGAGTACTTAGCAATATTTCAAAAGTTGATTGGTTTTTGTTTTTGTTTTCAGCTGCTTGTTATCTTCTGAAAGTTTTCACAATATAAAAGCCTAATAATGGTATTTACATTTTTTGTTAGAATCAAGTCAGGTTTGATTTCATGGTCAAGCTAGCATATACCAGCTCAATTCATCTTTGCTTGGGGCAGAAATGCTGCGCAGATTAGAGTCTTGAATGATACAGACACAACTTTGAAGAAAAAATTGTTAGTTTTAGCTTGTAAAAGCTTACTTGTGAGAAAAACAAATTTTAGAAGAAGATTGGTTAAAATAGTGATGCCCTGTTAAAGGGTACACAATGATTTTAAGAACAGCTGATGTGTAACTTTAAAAGTGATGATCCAGTTCCATTCTTGTTTAGGTAATCAAATCAATTGAGGTAGCCATGTCATTTTACAACACTTTTTTCTTAGATAAATGGGATATTTGTTTGCTGCTATCAGTGTATAAGACATAGCTTGGGTGTTCATTTTAAATTATCCTAAATTTTCCCTATCTTCCCCTACTAAGAGTGCAATAAACACTCTTAGGTTATGTAGGCTGAGAACTAAATGTCAGTGCTAGATGTATGTCTGTATGCAGAATCTTGACAGCTGGCTGCTGATTAAAAGGCTGCTGGAAAACTTCAGGGAAGCATTATGTTTGAAGAATAACTTTTTCTTCTGCTGGGAAATACCTGCAACGGAATTCCCAGCAGTAATTTGCAACCTGCTTTGATTACTGAATTCCCTCTTCCTGTCAGACACTGTCCATTTCTGCTGCTGGCAGCATCAGGGTGTCATGCTGACAGAGCCTAGGAGCTGGGAACCTGAATGACTCTCCCCAAAAGGAAGAGGTTTTTTATTTACCTAGCAGTAGGAATGATGGTGGACTGCTAGGAAAGGAAATAATGCTGGAAAGAGACATGTGAATCCCTCTCAGAGAAGGTGGTGGGATTAGGGGGAATATGAGACAAGTTCCTGTAGCAAATTCATCATAGTTTGAGGATTAGTATGCTAGTGTAAAACCTATGCCTCTTCTACAGCTGTATATCACCTACTAATAGAATTAAGGAGAGCAGGTTACAGATGTGAAGATAAATTAAATTCTGTTGTTTCATCTTTCACCCTTAAAACAAGCAAAAAAAAAAAAAAAAAGGAAGTGAAGGAAAACATGGGAGGGAATAATGTTTTGATAAATGAGAAGTTTAAACAGCATTTTAGAAATAATGAAAAAATATGACAGAAATTATTTTCAGCCTGAGCAAACTTAACAAAATCAAATCAGTCATCCAAATCCAACACAAAACTCTAACCAATTACTTCAATGTGTTTAAGAGCACATTCTTTCTGGTCGCTCATGAGTAGCTGCAGTGCAATGGGAAAATACCTATCACACACAAAGGTGCAAGTTGTGTAAGTCTGGCTATTGCTCAGCAGAATCACACAAGCTCTTGTGGCTAATATTTGGGCATCATGGTGAATAGCTGTGGATTTCTCCTTTTGTAAATACAGGTTTAATTAAGAACTGTGTGAGTTTTTATGTGGGAGTCAGAACATGGAACAGTTAGCATCCCAAATGGGGAGCATTTGTCTTTCCAAACTGTTTCAGGCTATCTGTGTAATCACAGCTTTGAGAGTGCAGAGAAAAAGAATGGAAGCTACTGGGGAGATAGAAGGACAAAGCTTTTTTATCCACCATTCAGTACAGTTTACCTGTGGGAGCAGAATGCATGTTTACCTACAATGCTCTGCCAACTCAATTCAACCTTTACATGGGAGGTTTGCATCTAATAGGATTAGGATGTGTTTAAGACTATTTACTCAGCCTTAACATAAGGCTGACATTTATACTCAACTCTGTGAAATGTGCAATTTCCTTTAAAAATTAAAACTGTATTCAACTTACCATACATTTGTGCTGACATTTTGAAACTGTCATGTGCTGTAAGCCTTCACACCACTTTGAATATCATTAACATGCTCTGTATGTTTGGGCAGAAACTGCATAGCAGGGAGATACTGTAAAATCTCTTGAACAATATGATCATGTATAAGAAAATAATTTTTCTCCTTTTTTATTCTTAGACTGAAGAAAAATTGCTCTCAAAGGAGCACAAGTGACTTTTCTAATGACAGGAAATATACTTTAAAAATAATTTAAATACTACATAATGCTTGAAGGGAAGCGTGCTTATCCAAACCAGAGTATTTTTCTCTATAAATTTTGTTTTTATTTTGTGAAGTGTATGTTAATGATGCGACTTTGGCACACAAAGTCGTTTTCAGAAGAGTGAAGTAGGGACCATCAGCCTACTTTGTACTTAGCTAATCAATTAACACATCTGGAAGTTTCCAAACTTGGGATCAAAACTAAGTGGTGGTCTTAAAGCAATGTCATGTCATAAAATGGTGTTTTGCTTTATGTGTGTCTGAATATCATGTGAAAGGAGGGGTGTAGCTGAACAATGAAATGACATGACAACTAAATTTCTAAAGCAAAGAAACCACTTACTATGTTGTGTCTATGTGGAAGCTGCACATAGCATTTGATGAAGCTCAAAGCTGTGCATCACAGTTTTGTCTGCTCCATGACCTGGTCCATCACTGGGCATTTTGAATAGGAAAACAATGTTAAATATTCGTACAGCAGTTTAAATGTTTTGCTTCATTAAAATGACTGATTCTTTTCACATTGCATGGTATGAAATAAGGATGTGGTCTGATTTTACAAATAAAAAAGCTGCAGTACACTCATCTGTGGGCATTTTAAAGCCCTGGTATCTTTGCTCTTATACTTATTTACAAAACAGTGCTTTTTCAGAAATGTTAGTTGACAGTTGGACAAACTTCTGATGTATATGTATACACTTTCCACTCCACATCAGGTCAGTAATGATAATTTGTATGTTTCACTCACCATCTAAATTGAATATTTAAGATGTCTATATTGTCTTAGAAGTAAGTTTTTCATGTTCAAGATATTCTACAGCCACAATCCACACACACGCAAAAATATGTTCTTTCTGATAAGATCAAATTGGCAGATCTCAAACTGGATGTACTTAAACATCATCAGTAACATTCCCAAATGTTAATGTTTGTTTTGATGCAGATCATGCTAAAGTCAAGCTTCTCCTGGCTTTCTGTTCAGTGTCTGCATTAGAAAAATCACCTTTCACTGACTAACTTTCTGCTGACAGTGGTTGTCAACAGTGGGTCCCCCTGGACCACTTCCAACTGGTGCTGAAAATGATGTTTACTCCTGATGTAATTGGGACCAATCAATTTTAAGGCCCATTACTGGGAAGGATGACTGCATCAATCTGTAATGGGCCAGAAATGTGTTTGTCTCTTTTACACAAGCCGGAAAACAGTTTTCAGCATCATTTGAGTAGGAATTAGAAAAGCTGTTGCCAATGATGATTGTCACCAGCTAGTCATTTTCTTAGTGCTGATGGAACCCGAAGTGTAGATGAGAGGAAAGAGGGCAGAGACACAGCTGACAGGCCATTACTTAGTGGGCTTAACAGCTCTTACAAAATGCTAATCAGTGACAAAAAGTAAGAGACAAATTTTTGTGCAAAGAGATGTGCCCAACTTTTTGCTGAATCCTTAAGAGGGCAAAATGTGTTTATAGCTGCTTCTGCATATTTTAGTAATTGATTATGTATTGTTTGGAATAGTTTTGGTATTGGAATAAACGAGAAAATAAAAGATTTCAGGAAAGGTCTGAATCTCTTAAACCCAGGTTTGCTTGGCTCACTGTGTAGATGTTTGTTTGTTGATTGACAGTCTGAGATGTTTTGCAGCATTGTTAGAAATTTGTTTACTTTATGGCACTGAAGTGCATTCCACTAGTATTCAAGTAAGGTGAAGCATCTTCCAGACCCTGCTGGAGTAACTAGATCGGCATGTTTATCCTCAGTGGACCTTATGCATTTTATAAGAGTTTGAGGTTTGGCCTTATTAAAATCAATCTACTAATTATGATCAGGCCCTGAATATTCTCCATGCTTTGCAAAACCCAGTTGCAATTCAGAGTATGTAATCACATTTGGGATTAAAGATGAGAAATGGTTTTGTTCCAGTTATTCTTCACAAAAATATTCAACAATGTAACCACTTTTTATTGTAATTTCAAATTGGGTAGAAGCTCACTTTAAATTTAGTTGGTATCTGTAATTTACTGTTTTCAGCTTCAAAACTCAAGATGGTACATTTTTTTCCCTTTTAGTTGCTCCATCTTACTCGCTTGCATTTCCCACTGGTCTGCTGTAACTCTCCATCTAGGTCTTTTGCTGCTGCTCTGAAATTGTTATCTCAGTTACTTTTCCTATGCAAAAGCCAGCTGGAACAGATTTTTTGTAGACCTGTGGTCCTCATGAAGCAGAGCAACTCTTGAGCCTTTACTGATTTTTTTTCTGGTAGAGCCTGAGCAACCCTTTGAGCGAAGATTGAGTAAGGGCATTGTGTAATGCCTGGAAATTCCAGTCAGGCTGAGCCAGCTCAGGACAAAAGATAGCTCCTTTTCTGGGTGCTTCTGCTGTTTCCTTTCTTTTTTTTTTGCTTTTTCTCCCTCATGGGCTTCTTCAGTTTCCATCGTCTGATGCGTATGGGTGCACACACCAAGCTGGTTGCTTTGCCCTGTCTACATCTGTTCCCCTGCTCTCAGAATAGCTCTGGTTTTACTGTTCTAACATAGCACTATTAAAAAAAAAAATCACTAGATGGAACAGAATAGCAGCTGTGTAATAGAGGCCAGCACAGTGTCCCAATGGGAGAGGGTCAGCATCCAGGGATTGAGGTTATTCAGGAAATGGGAAACATATTTTTTCTTTCTTTGGCCTACCTCTGACAAACTACTGTTCTGCTGCATAACATTTTTATTCTCACTGGAGTATGACAAGCTGCAGAATGGAGCAAATATATATTGCAGACATTTGTAAAATACTAGATGACTTTCCCTCAGACATAAGTAATAGGTATACTGGTTTAGGTGCAGGAAGAATAATAATTCACTCAGGGAAAGATATAGCAATTGGCCTTGCATCTAATATAATTGGAAATGGTGAAATATAAAGGACTGTCACTGTCTTATTTCTCCCCCTCTTCCTTTCCTCGAAATTAACCACAATCCATTATTTCATGTACTATATGATCATGTCATTTGGGAGCAATAAGTGACCACATTTCCTCAACTTTATCACCACTGTTCTTGATTCTCTGATGTTAAATTCACTACGTTCCTAATTTCTATTTTGAGCACATATGCTGGCCTTTAATTTGCAATTTACATGGATCATAGGGTGCTATTCAGAAACCTGTTTTTGCTGCCTTTGTGGTTTTCACCTCACCTCATGTGGTCATTAGGATGAACAGCATATAATTAACTAAATTCATGTAAAGTCCTGAATTGCAAATGCTTCTCTCTACCTCTAGTTTCTTAAAAATTAGAGAAAATCTAAATATAACTAAAATAAAAGTTCCAGTGGTTTATACCAGCTGTAAGAATCAACTTTTGTTTTTGTGATAATTTGGGCTGAATCCATCAAACCTATTTATTTGTTTCTTTTATTAGTGATTACACTTGTGTGTCACGGCAGATTAGAAATTATAAGATCTGTTTGTGGGCAGGCAGCCAACAGTGAAGCCTGTTTAGCTTGTCTGCTTAGCTGAAGCCATATGGACACAAAATTACTTTCCTGTTGCATGTAAAATATTTGCCAAAAATAATTTTTTTTCCTTTTCTTTTTGCAATACCATTTCTATGAAGTACATTTGTCACTGACTGCTGCAGTTTATGAGTTTGTTGCATTGTACCCAGAGTGAAACTTTACATTGGAAATAGGAGCAGAGGTTATAATGAGAAACTTCAAGCTGAGAACTTTCTTCCTGGTGAAATACTACCTTGAGAGATTGATTAACTTTGTGAAGCAACAAAGGAAACATAAAAGATTTCCCAGTTAAGGAGGAATTATTCTTTTACTTTCTATTTACTCTATTTTATGTTCTCCAACTTTTGCCTGAAACTTCAATTTGTCAGACACTTTTGAATACCAGGGACAGAATGTTATTAAGAATAATTCAGTAAGACAACCCTTGGAAATTGGCTTAGATTGGCACATGTGCTAGAGCAGGAAAAAGTTCACAGACCTTGAAGAGGGAAAAGAAGTATAACTTGTGGAGCTCTATAATGTCCCTGAGGTCTGCTCCAGTGATTGCTTTGCTAAATGGAGAATGTTTGGACTCTTCTATCTGTGGTTGAGCTTTCTGCCAGAGTTTTCTGAGCCCATTCATTATGTAGTGGCTTTTGCACAGAGCTCAGTCGTGTACTCAACAGGCTGGAACACTCAGCCTTCTTGGTCCCATGATCCTGCAAAGGAGCAGATAAGTGGCGTTGTGGGGCTGCTGAGGTGGAGTTGTATCATTGAATTACACACAAGCTACATGTCTGTCTAGTACTGAGAAAGAAGCTCACTATGATAGAATTACAGTTTCTCTTCAGTGTAGCTGCAATCTGCTAGGCTGCAGTACTCAGTATCAGGGCCGGGGTTAGTTTATATTAAAAATGGTACAACAAAGGAAAAAAAAACCTATTAAAAGCTATTCAGAAGACTCTTAAAATTCTTCAGAAATTTTATCATAAAACCTAATATTTGTGTCTTTTCAATGCTTGAATTTTCCACTGTGCTTCTAAGAAAAAACATTTTTCTTTTTCAAGTTGTATTTTATGCTTCTGAATTTCTTCCTTATCGTGTTACCTTGTGTGTGGGTCTTACCTTACAATCCCTGTCAAGCAAAACTCTGTTGGAATAAATTAAGTGGAGTTCTATTTAGTTTCTGATTTGACAGGTCATTCAAAGCTTATTTATAAACTTCAAGCTTTATTGTTTACTTAAAACAAAACTGTGTTTTGTTTGACAGGTATCTTATAAGAAGGATGTGCAAGATACTCATAGGTACACTGAAGTTCTGAACAGACCAGACATAAAGAAGGCAACTGAGATAACGAAGATAATAAGTGATGTATGTTCTCCTTTTACTCTCTTTCTGGTTTTTTAGACATGTAATTTTTTTATTCCAATTTTGATCAGATTTTTTTAGAATGCTGCTGGAATTCTCAATTATCTTGATCAGAAAACCTGCTCCTCCAAATCTGCTAGGGAGATTTGATTAAAAGAAATCCAAATACAACCAAAACAAACCAGTCTTGCCTGGCAGGCTAGAAAGCTCTGGTTTTCTCCTTTTTAGATGTTGACCGTATGATCTTTGCAATTATTGGTAAGTGATGTAAAGACAACATGAAAATTGCTAAAATTGGTTTTGTTTCAGCTTTATTCACTATAGCCATTCTGAAGATAAGTCATGTGTTTGTATGCTATACTGCACTTCAGAAGACATCTCAAACCCTTTTTTACCTTGCTGTGAGAGAAGCTGGCATCCCAGGATACCCCTTTTCCCATCTCAGCCGGCAGTGACTGGAAAATGTTATTCTTGCTGTCCTTCCAAGAGCTGTGCAGATGCTGCTTCTTTCATGGGGGTTCTCTTCCCTGAGCTCCCCTCTCAAGTTCTTTGCTCTTCCACTGTGACTTTGGCTAATGGATAGGTGAAGGAGCAGTTTGAGATGCAGCAGTGTGTGATGCAGTTTAGTATTTTATTGTAGACAAGTCAGACAATACATACTAAAAGCCCTGAGTCAAGTTTTTAAGTAATTAATTAAATGTGAGACTGACTAGACACATTTGGAGAGACAGATTTAAGAGATGGGAATTCACCTTTCAATACTCAGGATTTTTTTAAAACCAAGAACTTTTTCTAAGTGTTATACTCAGCATGCAGATTTATTAATTGCTGTTCAATTGCTCTTAGAGTGTCTTTGGGACTTTTATTTCTCTGTCTCTTCTTATGATGTGTCCTTGCTGATTCACAATGCTTGAGTAATGCAAGAAGCCTATTTTAGGCAATGGGTAATTTAGATTGTGTTATTGCAAAGCACCTATTGTTCGTTCATCTGTGTTTTTTTCTAATGCATTGTGGGAAAAAATTGCAGCAATTTGCATGGGAGGAAGTTCAGCTGGAGAGATCACGTAGCATTAACCTTGCGGGACTAATTCAGCTCTGTGACACCAGTGCTGTCTCACTGACATCCAGCAAGACCCCAGCGGTAAAACTGAGAGTGGAATTTGACCTTACAGTTCAAAAAAGTTGCCCCTCAGACTAGTTTTATTTCAAGACTACTTTCAGCTGCTGCAAATAATCTTGTGTTAACTGTAGACCCTGTCATAAGAAATGCTGAGCCACTGTAACTCATTCTGCCTTGATTGGGAGGACAGTATTTCTCTGGCTTAGGCTGTGCATTTGGTTAAAATTGAATTTTGTGAATGCTGCACATTGTGTTTTACAATTAATAAATAATATATTGTTAAGGAGCTGAGCCCTGAGAGAGGCTTTACTCAGAATTGATTAGAACAGTAGTGTCAAAGCAGACCATTACGTGAGACTTTTATCTGCTAGCTTTAATGTTTACATTTCTCTTGATAAAACAAACCAAACAATTTATTAGTGATTCATGTTTCCCCGCTCCCCACCTTTTTTTTTAAGGCTACGTACAAGAAAGGAAGGGGAGAACTGAATAAGGAGTCTGCTGTACTTGGAAGACCTGATTTTGAACATGCTAAAGGAGTTTCAAAACTTTTAAGCCAAGTAAGATTCTCTATCATTTTACAGTGATTTCATCCAAATATCTCATTCCTAGTAATGCAAAGAAAATTGCATTTTTAGATGATTATCTCTAATGGCCTTGAAGATTATGTTCTCAAACTTTTCATATAGCATTGCAATGACTGGTAAATTTTGGATTCTTAGGAAACCAAATACACACTTTGAAGCAAAAATACAATGAACTTTGACTACAACTTGTCTCTCATGGAGATGGTGTATATTTATACAGATTTTCTAGGATTTCTAAAATATTAACTGCATGTAATTTAGAGGCAAATTTTGCTACTCATTCAGTTTGAGTGGAACCTTACCCTGTGATTAATCCCACTGAAGTAACTGAGGTCTTTTGTGTAGCTGCTTGCTAATGTGAGTAATGGGATCTGAATTTGGCCTGACATGTAAACCACCCGCCTTCCTTCCCCCTGAAACTGAACCTTTTATGTACTACTGTTATATATTAACCTCAAAAAAGAAAAGAAAAAAAATTATTCTAGTTGTTAACTAAAAAGAAATCTGAAATAGAAATATTCCTTCTTCCTCTTAGTAGTTTTCTACTCATAAGGTGTACACACTCTCCTACAGATCATCCTGACATTGTGAGAACAGAATTTTCACTGCTGATCTGTTTTTTTTTTCTTTTTTTCCCTCTTTTTTTGTCTGAAGTAGTTCTTCAACAGTGCCTTTCATAATCCTTGCTAAGTAATCCTGTCCAGCTATCCTTGGAGCTTTTGAAAACCCAGGAGATGCCCTCCTGTAAGAGGAGGATAGTGCCCTTTGATTGGAGAAGGCTGTGTCAGCCTTGCCAGAGCCAAAAAACCTGTCAAGTGTAAATAGTGTATATACTAGGGCAGACTCCACGTCAGTGATATGTAAAAAATACATATGATTTGGCCAGATACTAAATGTCTTCCCTAGAACTAGCATAAAATGAGAATAATGTGTCATAGAGAACAAGCTGGAAAACAGTGCAGTGTCCACAGGAGGTAGAGCTCCTTTTGCTGTTATCCTTAGATAACTGCTGCATGATTTCCTGTTTCACACCATTGTAAACTTTGAAGCATTACACAAAGAGAAAAAGAAGGAAATAAATGTTTTTTATTGCTTTGTTTGTGATGTGCTCAGAATAGAAATGAGTTTGTGTTTTTCAAATAGATTTCTGTCTTCTATTTTATAATGGATCATCTTCTCATTTCTCTGCTGATGGACAAGAAATTATTTTGTGTTTAGCATTGTGCAGGCTTGGAAGATGGCCTGTACTTTCTAGAAAGAGCCAGTGTGATGCTGCTCAGCCCTGAGCACTTTCCTGTCACATACAGGAAATGAGGCTGTCATTTAGCAAACACGTTCAATGGTTTCTAAAAGGGTCCATATCTAAATTTAGTGTGTAATGTCTTTTATATCTACTCCATGGCTGCCTACACACTCCTGTCCTTGCAGCCTGTTTCAGAATCTAGTGAGCTTGCAGCTGCCTGTTTTTGCCAATGAGACCAAACCATAACCCTTTCCAATAGCCCTCTCTGTCTTCCCAAGCCTGGTACCCATCAGATTGTGGCCAACAATCACAAGTGAAAAATATCAGCTGGATCATGGGGTCCTGCAGGCTGATGAGCCAGCTACATGGAAGGCTACATCAGTGCACTTTTTATCTCATTTCTATTAGATGTGCTTTTTGTCTTGGACAATGCAAAGTGCATCTGCAAATACTTTATAATAGGGTCTCTTCATTGCCAGGAACTGGGATGGCAGCAGCTCTAGCTGAGATCCTTCTGCGGAAGGCATGATTTACTGTGAATTTTAACTTCCGTAGAAAGTCCAAATAGTGCAGAAGGTTAGACAGGAAGGGAGGAGAAATTGACAAAATGTAGCCTGTGTTTGGTTTATTTGGTACAGAAGATTCTTACTAAACCTTGGTGGTCCCAACTCTGCAGTCACTGGCCCTGGATCCAAATTTTGGAAGACTTTCTTGTGTTGTCCTCTCCTGAGTCTGTGCTGCTGTGGCTGCTTGCAGTGTGTGTGATGAGGACTGTGCTTTCAGAAAAGGAGGCAGCGCCTCAGACTGACACTGCCTGCAGCAGCACGGAGGGTGCAAATACTGGGCAGCTCTCAGCTGCAGGGAGGTGTGCTCAGCAATTCCCCCATGTCCTCTGAAGGGAAGGCAGAGACCACGAGTTGTCTAATGTTCTTATATATTATTTGAATCGTTATAACACTTACACACACTAATCATAAATCAAGAGTGCAGAAAAATGAAGATGACCCCTGTGTCCAAAGAGCAGGATGGTGGGGCAGGATGGGGAATGCACCTGTGCTGGAGGAGAGAGAGAGACCTAAATATGGGTCAGTCATGTCTGTCCTCTTCATGCAAGGATCACGAAACAGGCTTGTAACACTTACAATATTTAAAAAAGAGTAAAGTTAATGATCTCCTTATTGTCTCCAGACTTTCTGGCTTTTAGAGTTTCTATTTGTTTCTCAGAAAATGGGAAGATCATAAACTTTTTGTGTTGAAAGTTGATAATCTCCCTTAATTGCATGAATCTATAAGCTGTGACATGCAGAGAAATATTAGTTATTTGACCCTCACAGTAAATTTACAAAGTTGACAATTCTGATGGATGTAATGGGAAGAGAAGATGATAACATGTTTTAATGTGGTGCATATGGGTAGGTAATTTAGGGAGTATAGAGAACAGGAGCAAGAAGAGGTCAGGCAGTGTGGGTGTAACGAAGGGAGAAAGCAATCAAGGCAAGCAGGAAAGCAAACAAAGCGAAGAAAATAGTGTTAATGTTTGACTGGCACTCAAAGCTCTACAGAAATCACTGTTTTCTCTCTCTCTCCTTTCTTTCCTTTTTTATTTTTTTCTTTAACAAAGCTTTTGACAACAACAGCAGCAAAAATAATAGCTCCCAGAACTAGTATATTTACCCACAGCATGTGGTAACCCTCTTCTGTTGATTTTAAATGAAATTTAAAACAGAAACTGTGTTAGCCCTTATGAAAACATGGAGCTTGTCAATTTGCCGAGTGTGCATTGTATAATTTGGGCTATTTTTTTATATATTTTTGTTTTATTAAGACAAGCTCTTGTTCATGCCCTCTTTATGTTTTTAAATGCATTTTATTAGCTGTTTCAAAGAGCTGCTGATATGAGGTATTCCTCTTATGGTGTTCAGTAATTGGTTTTTAAATAAATAATTTTGGATATTCATATTTGTTGCTGAATCTGGCGCTTATTGTTTTAGGGATAAAACTGTTAGAGGTAGAATGTTTTTCAAATTGCACCTTCTCTGAGATTTTCAGCAACAACCCGAAGAGCCTAGGATTTTCTCAGTCTTTCTTTGCTTTAAGCCCTGCTAGTGCTTTTAGCAATATATGCTTCAATTTTGCTCTTTGTTTATGCTACATTTCCTTCAATATATATGTGCTCTGACAGGTTTTTTCCTCTTTTTAAGATGTTTTCATATGGTCATGAGGAAATGCTTTAGCTGCAAGTGTCTGCTTTATCATGGGATCACACTGGCTGAATGATTCAATTTTTTGTAGTTTCTTTGTAAATCTGAACAGTGGGTGATGTCATCCACTTCTGAAACTGAACACTCCCTGTGTGAACAGCTTTGAACTACAGATTTGATTTAGGAATGTTGCTGCTAAGCTTCAAAAGACACTGCTCTGTCCACCTGCAATTCTGACTTTTATAGGTTTTGTGCAAGGCCGATGAGAAGTTTGTTTATCCAGGCCTTATTTAATTCCAGTTTGGTTTTTCAGGGATGTTGTTGTGTTAAAAGCCTGCGGAGTCTGCTCTTTCTTAAGTAGTCTTTAGAGAGCAACCTCCATGCATTTCTTTTAAATTAACCCTATACACTATATAATCTCTAAAAAAATATACAAAGTAAGACTTTAATGAAGATGGTAAATAAGTAACCGTCCTTTTAAGCCCTCATTAAAGTAAAACTCTTGGTTAATGATGAAATTTGTAGATAAGTGTCCACTAACTACTGTCAATTTTACTCCCACTTGTTTGCTCTTCCACCACATTATCGCCTTGCTGAGACCTTCCCCCTTCAGATGGTTTAGAAATAGTATGAGGTATTTTTCTTCCTTGTTTTTATTCAGAAGTCTTTGTCTCAGGCATATTTCTTCTCTTTAAACTGCATTCACCCTGTTCAAAAGGATGATGAATACTGTGTGCTTTCCTTCACCGTGACTCATCCATGGGTTTGCTCTTCTTTCTTCACACTCTCCCACCCCACGCTTCCTTTCAGGGGGAGAAAGAACCAGAAAAATGTTGATAAAAGAGAAAGTGTACATCTATGTAGCTTTCAATGCAACAAATCCCCTATGACAGGTCAGTTAAATGACTGCTGGAAGTGCTCTGGAGACACTGCCAGGGTCGTCTGATATTGCTGTGTGTGCTCCGCTTTGCCCCAGAGCAGCGCATGCAGTGGGGAGGGGAGCAAAGGCAGTGAGCTGAGCAGCCAGGGGAGACAGCAGGGCCTGGAGCTGAGACAGCCCTGCTGCAACCAGTTTACAGTCACTGCTTGGGGGGCTCCCTTAATTTTGGGTCCCTCCTTCGCATCGGGATCAGGACACAGGGCCCTGTCAAAGTTGGGTTCACCGGTCCCCCTTCTGTCCTTCAGTGGCAGCAATGTGATCCCAAGTGACACTAGTGAGGATCTATTACTGGAATCTCTACGTTGAAATGTATTGCTAAAAAAACTTTTAAATGGTGGCATGAAATGGCTGCAGCTGGAAGATGGCAAACCAGTTGTGAGGAGAGGTCCTTTTGGCACCAATGCTTTCCCACTTAACAAGAATTTCAAGTGCCATGTTGTGCATTCGGTTTGTGTGTACTGTTTGTGACCATTTGTTGGCCAGGAGAAGGCAGCCTGAAGTTGGATATTTAAAGTCTAAATACTTGGTGGTGTTGTGATGTGGATAAAGGAGTAATAGATAGTTTTGCTCACCCTGCTGTCATTCTGGCTTTTTGAATGACATATTACAGCACTGCCTGATTTTCATTAGAAGGCAGGTTTTGGATACACCTTTTAAGAGAGAAAAGCCCTCTGATTTATTCCTTCACTGCTCATACAGAGCATGGATTTGCCTTTGTATTCAGTTATATGCTTTTGCACTTGATCCAATGCCAAGGCAAATATCAAACAATATAAACCAGATGAATCTACCAGAAGGCAATAGATACTCTCTTCTACTGTTAGTGTGAAAGATTATGAAGTTCATCATGTGTTCAGATAAAGTTTTTCTTTAAAAGTAACAATGTTTTAGGATTTCCTTACTTAGAAAAATTAACCTAACTGCTGGAATAATAATAATGTAGTGCTTAAACATATATGGCTAGTTCCTGTTTGTGTGGCTTAGTTTTGGTTTCTTGTTATCCTGATTAATGAAGTCATGGTCATCGTGGCTAAAGATAATGAGGTTGTGTAAGCTAAATCATGTTGAGGGTCTTTTGAGGCAAAGAAGAACTGAAAAGGAAAAAAAAAAATCTTCCCACAACGAAGGCTGAGAAAAAAAATATTGAAGATTGTTTGAGGTGGCTTAACCACTTTATCAGACATTCATGTGGGAATAGAGAAAAAAGGAGTAGGGAAAAATCCATGTATTTATTTAGTGCAGAGCGTGGTAAATTATAATGGATGTTGCATAGGCTCAGATATCAGGTGTCTGCCTAACATTCATGAAAGCAGCATAATTCAGACTGAACTTTATTCTCCATTATGCCCAGCTGTTGGAAAGAAACAGACATGTGTGCAGAGTCTCCAGATGTTTGATGAACACTCACAAAGGGAGCAAAGGAGGGAGATAAACTATTCGTTCCATTTCATATTTTCAGATTCTGAATTCAGCATGTTTTCTGGAATTGTTGTGATTTATTTACTTTTAATGCCATTGTCTCCATATTTAAGTATTGCTTATTTCCTCTTACATGTATTGTCATTACCCCTTTTTTCTTTTGAACGACAAGAAAATATGGTGAAAGTGATGGCAGGAAGTAATTTAATTATGCTTTCTAGCTCTGTAATGAGGTGGGCATTATCCCCAAGGAAGGATTGAACTACAGAGGGATTCCTCAGTGTCTCATGGGAAATTTCTGGCAGAATTAAAAATAGACCTGGTGGTTCTGGTGGCAGTCTAGCATAGTAGGAATGGCAGGTGGAGCTGGTGGTGGGAAGTTCGATTCTGACTTCCCATTTTCAAGTGGTTTTCAGATTTACAAGTAATTTGTTTTACAATTGTTATATTTTATTCACCTTAGAATTATTTTTTTTTTTTGTTAAAAACCACAATTTTGATGTTAATTATGAATTGAATGATTCTCAGTGAATTGGTTATTATTGCTATCAGTGAATTGGTTATTATTGCTAGTCAAACAGTTCTATTTTATTTGATTACTCATGTGAGTAATATGATTTTGTTTCTGTTTTCTTTTTATAAATCCTTCAGCACCAGTAATCACATATGACAATCTTAAAATTTTTAGTAAAATTCAGATACATAAAACTTAATTGGAAACCAACACCAGACTGTCACAGGTGTGGATAAACTGAGCTTCTTTAAACTTTGTTTAAAGATTTATGAATAAAGTAATTGCATTTAATAAGCTTCTTTGTAGTCTGAATTCTCTGTCTTTTTTAAGTGCTGCAAGTTAATGTTAGACATGTTTGTTCTGGTGAAAGGTAAAATACAAAGAGAAGTTCAGCAAGGAAATGAAGAGTCACCAGTACAATCCTCTTGACAGTGCTTCCTTCAAGCAAGCACAGATTGCATCCACCTTGGCAAGTGATGTAAGTTAATTGGCTTTGTATTTTACATGCATTTACACTTACATGCATTTAAATCCTGAATAACCTAACATTTGTAGATTCACAAGTTGAATTTCTTTTTTAATGTTATGCATTCCTCTGAGCTACAGCCTCTCCTATACAGTGTGTAGCAGGTACAGCATGTTATCCATTTCTTCCTCTGCTTCTGACAAAGGGCCTGAAGAGATTTTCATAACCATTTTAGATGAGATTCATTTAGCTTAATTTTCTGTGTCGAAAGGTATGACCTCTTACTCTGAGCTAATTGCCTTCTACTTGGTCCCTTTTTATTCAGGAAAGAAATAAAAGAGGTCTAGAGGTCAATTCTTCTCACCTGTTAGAGGTGCCTGTCTTTAGAAGAGCAAAGTCCTACCCTCTCTCCAATAACCATTGGTTAAAAAAAGGAGGTTACATGAGCAGATCAGGTCTGGATGTCTGTGTTTTAGACTTCATTCTTCTATTTGATCTTCTCAATGGTAATCCAAAATACAGCAGTCACTAAGTTCAGCAATGGGTGTTTGCTGCTGGAGCCAGACTGGAGAAAACATCTTTATCGAGTGATAATGCCCTTGGGATGATATATTTTAAAGTCTGTCTAATGCTAAAAATGTGATCTCTTCTTTGTGGCTGTGATCCAGATAGTCAAAAGAGAAGCCTTCATTTTGTAGTCCAGCATTTCTGAAGTGTGAAGTACCATGCAATGAGTACAGGAAAGATTGGCTCTGGGAAGAATACAGAAGATTATGTAATTATTTCCAAAATCTAAATGTGTAGTACAAAATTAGTTGAAGCAGTTAATATTGTAAGAAATGGGCAAATTGAAGTGAAGAACATGATACATATGTGGAGGTGACTAAAGGTATTAGTGTAAAAGATCTCTCATCCCAGATAGGTAAGGTAGCTAGTCTTTTCCCTGTAAAGTTGGGCATACATGTCTCAGAAGAATGGAAAATCCTACTGGAGGCTGATGGGGAGTTACTTTCTGCTGCTTCATTAAGTGATTATCTTTTGCCTTAGGATCACCATGTTACTTATATTTACTGCAAGCAGTCTGTGTTGGATAAAATATCCAGGAGCACTTCCTTTTAACTCCTGTATATGAAACTTTTAAATTGGATGGTGTAATTCCTGAAGCAGGGGAAAAAGAATAAGAATTAAAGGTGTTTAAAATGAATAGAACCAAAGTATTGAGGAACATACTCTTGATTTAAGTGGGGAGTGGGAAGGGAGGGGAGAAGAAAAAAGAAGAAAATTAATTCTAGTCTGAAAAGTCATACAAGGTGTGATTTTGTTGTGTTTGTCCTTTTTTGGAGGAAAAGTTTGGGTAGTTCTTAAGTACTTAGTAGAATGAGTCCTATAGTGTTTCATTTTCTTTGAAATGATAGTAGATGACCACCATCTAGTGGCTGTGAGAGATTGTTCAGGCAAGCACTTAAATGTTTTCCCTTTCTGAACAGTCACACTGTAATACAGAGCTGTGAATTATTTTATTAATCTTTAGTTTGCATAACCTTAATTCTCTTTCCAGGTGAACTACAAGAAAGATTTAGAAAGCCTGCATGATCCAGCATCTGATCTACCAAACCTGCTGCATTTAAACCATGCTTTAAATATCAGCAAAACACAGAGTGATGTAAGTTGCCTTTTTAAGAATGACCTGAAAAATAAAACTATTAAGGAATGTACTACATTATACTACTAACATAGGAAATACATTTTTGCTCTCATATGTAGTGGGCAATAGTGCTGTAACTGCCGTAGATGAGAGGTGTAGTGAAGAAAAATGTTTTTTTATGAAGACATACTTCAGTTATTAGAACAGATAATATATACTGTGGAAGAATCACACAGACTTCTGATGTTGAGTGTTTCTTCTCATATATCTGAAACATTGTCTGTTTTTTTCTGTGTTCTAAGACCTAAAATGCTTTTTTCCTTGAAAATCTCATTTTGTCTAAGGTCTTGCTTTCATCTGCAAGTCTCTGTACAGAAGTGACCATTATGCTAGTTTAATATTTGGACTTTTTTCATGAACAGCCTCTGGAGTGTTAGCTTACTTTTGGGCTTCTCTGGCTAAACTTTTTTCCCCTCCTAACTGAGTCTTCCTACACTGGGTCAGATAATAGGCACATGTTTCATTCATGCCTCTTGATGGGGCTGGTGGTCTGATCTATGATCGTGATAGGGATTAAAATAGGAAGGAAGAGCTAGGAAACTCCTGGCTCCTGTGCCATGATGCAGGTTCTTTCCCACTCCAAGAGCACTATGCTGTAGGCTGGTTAGCTGCATTTATCATCTTCACTCCAGAAAATACAGCTGGCCTGCAGAACTTCTGTGGAGAGGCATGAGTGTTGTGAAAGAAGGCTGCCCCACGGTTGGCAGGATTTGAGTGTTTCATAGACAATTAACTCTAATGAGTAGGAGCACACTGGGTCATCTTTTGTGTCAGTGCCTGCTTATATCTAAAATAATCAAAATAATCTATCTAACTTGACTTTTGTGTGTATCACTCCTCCTGTGAAGCTAACACTGACTATCCCCTTTTTTTTGAGTAATAAATGAGTTGGAATGTTTTTCTTCCTTCATTCTTCATGCATGTTTTGGTCTGAATCTAGTTTCCTTCTAGTGTATGGTAAGATTGGCAGTCTTTTTGCTGATTAAATGAGCACCCTCAGAATGGACTTCATCAGTTTATCATCTTAGCTCTAAGGATATAGAAACTTGGACTTTTCCTTAAGGCAGATTATGTCTTGCAAAATGTATTTCTTTCCTTTTTCCTGGAGGGATTGATTCATAATGTTCATGTGCTCATCTGAGGACTTGGTAAATACTAAGCCTTTGATTTTTGTACTGTCCAGATCCTGGTGGATATTTTTATTTGGTACAACAAGAGAGATGCTGTGCCAATCCCTAAGCTCTCCACTAAATATCTGTCTTTTAAAAAAATCCCATTTTCACAGTCCTTCTCAGATCTGACCTCCCCATGTAATTGTTTTTATTTAAACACGGTTTACTCTTTTGCCTTTCTCCCTCCTTTTCCAGTACATTCCTTGTGTTCTCCTTGTCTCTCCACAGCTCATACCAAATCTGTTTTGTAATCCACCACCATTGTATAAAATGGTCTTCCTGACTTACCTGTGTCAACTGATTTTGAAAGAGTAGTCTTATGGTAATTTTTTTTTGTTTGTTTTTTTCTTTTTGTTGGTTTGTTTGGTATTTTTTTTCCTTCTGAAACACAGAGCTGCTTGAAAATTGCCCAGGTTTCCCTGCAGTATACCTTTCTCCATTGAACTTTGTTTCTCATTATCTTCTACATAGCTACACCTGCACCAGTGTGACAGATAGAAACCTCTATGGCTAATTAAACTCATAAACTAATATTGTTGATTGAATGAATGGGTTTGCTTACTGATTTAGAGTGTAGAAGTGTGTGCAGGTTTATGAATTACTTATACTGTAATATCACGGCCAGGCTGTTATACACGTCAACTTCCATGGGGATAAATTCCAGCAGTTAAGAGGAAAGCTTGATGGGCATCTTTGGACATAAATAAACTGATTTTGACAGGTTAAACTCATCCTGGTTTTGTTATTTTGATGAGGAATAAAATTACAAGGTGGAATTCTCCCTTTATGGAGTATTTCCTGGTTTCACTTAGGATGGAGGTAATTTTCTTCCTAGTAGCTGGTACAGTGCTGTGTTTTTGATTTAGGATGAAAACAATGTTGATAGCACACTGATGGTTTAGTTGTGGCTGAGCAGTGCTTACACTAAGTCAGGAACTTTTCAGCCCTTGGGGTGGCTGGTGGTGCCTGAGGAGCTGGGAGAGGACACAGCCAAGACAGCTGACCCAAACTGGCCAAAGGGATATCCCACACCATATAGTGTCATTCTCAGTATATAAAATAGGGGCAAGTTGGCCAGGGGATCCTTCTCAGGGAGAGGCTGAGCATTGATAGACTTTTTCATTTACATCTCTTGTTTTTTTGTTTTGTTTTTTTTTTTTTCCCTTGAGCTTTATTTCTCTCTCTTTTTGTTATTTTCCTTTTATTACTGTTTATTATTATTATTATTATTAGTATTAGTATTATTAGTATTTATACCCCATGGGGTAAATTGTGTGAGCATTTGTTTGGGGCTTAGTTGCTGGCTGTGGTTAAACCATGACCGATATATATGTAATTCTGGTATGAACTATGGGACACAAAATTTGACACTTTGATATATGTAGAACAGCTAGTTTAATGTTTTTCACATTTCAAATATGTTCCTATGGTGGAGACTTTGTGATACTAATGCAGTGCAGTCTAAAAAAGCGGGAACTTTTAGATATATTTCATTGTAATGAGCAGGGTGAATAAATATAACATAAGAGACCAAATCTGGTGCTTGTAGTTTAGCTTAATGTAGCAAAAAGTTACGAGTTTAGCTAATTTGATTTTATAGAATTTTAAAAAAAAATTCTTTCATTAGCTGAGGAATGGAGTAAAAGTATGAGATCAGAATCTGTAGATGGAGGTAATTTTCATTTGTTTCCACTACTGAAGTGATTTTGTTGTGTGACATTTACAGTTCTTTCCACTAGGAGGCAAACCCAGACCATCATATGTGTTCTTTTGCACTTCAAGTGGAAATAATAATGTTTATTTTCTATGGAACACAGAAACATCTGACTTTTAGATTAACAGGACATCCATTTTCTCTAGGAATGTACAAAATATTTTTTTATCATATTCTTTTTTTTATAAAATTTCATCACAACATTTTAAATTTGCATTTGACAGAACTCCCCAGTTAGTAGGACTAAAATAAGGTTTCTTCTATGCTTTTTCTTTCATAGTTACTTTAAACGGTATTTAAATTCCAAAACCTTCTGGATTTTGTCTGTGAAAACATTATTGGAAGTTTTTTTGTTTCAGTATGAATATAAGAAATCATTTAAGCAAAGCAAGTGTTTCTGTGATTTCAGCCCAGACACTGCAGAACAAATCTATCTCACAGAAAATGCAGTGCTTCAAAGTCAGGTATACACAACCACAAACAAACACATCTTGAAAAGAGAAAAATGCAGCATTTTAACAGTGGTTAAATCATGCACAAAAACACATGATAGATTTCAGTGATGTACAGTGCATATTCAATCAGAAGTACTCCATGAGGAGAGAGGAGAGTATTTTTGCAGGACTGAAGCCTAATGCAGAAGCCTGACAGGGAAAGAGATATAATCAGACATCACTATTTTTGAAGAGATACAGAAATTTAAATTACATTACTCACTATAAATGTAATATTTTGATTTGTAGCTGTTTACTTTCCTTTAGGGCTTGTGTAGACTATTCCATCACGCCCCACACTGACTGATGGAGAAAAGTAATGTGCTTGCCAGTCTTGATCAAAAGAGTGTGAATGAATGAGTTCAGAAAGCTTCTCCAGGTTTCCAAACAAAGTGTATTTCCTTTGTGAGTTAGCATAAAGGAGTGAGTTGATCTCTTAACCCTGTGTCCTTCACTGTGATTTTGCTGCCAGCTCTAAGGTCATGGTCCCTGGTAGATGTGAGGGGAATGTTGGTGCAGGACTGGACCCTACCAAAGCTGTAGTTGTCCTTCCCCTCTCCCTCCCATAGGTACAAACAAAAGTGCATTTGAGAGTGGTGTTTCTGAGCCTGAAAAAAAAGACCTGTGGGGCCTGGCTGTGAAACAGATTTTGTTATTGTTACAGTAAATGTGTTTTATGGAAACATAGCAAGGGATGCTATTAAAAAGCTGCCAACTGTTCAGACATAGGTCATTTGGCCAAACCCATGCAATTGTTTTAAGGATTGTGATTGATGTTCCTTATTCCTGTTGTCTTCAAAGTTCACAGTTTCTAGGTCTGAACTGTGTAGAAAAGGAATAAATTACTTAAACAAATATTACCTTATCCAAATGCCGTATTTCCCCAGCAGGTTAAGTTTGGGAGAAGTCTTCCAAATCAAAACATCTAAGGAGTAGGGCTAAGACAGGATTTGTTTGTTTCCAAGGCAAGCAATCAGATCTCATATTCTTTCAGCTGTTAACAGACTTTATCTTAATTTTCATAGGTCAAGTACAAAGAAAATTATGAAAAATCTAAAGGCAGATCAATGCTGGAGTTCGTGGATACACCAATGTATCAGGTTTCAAAGGAGGCTCAAAAGATGCAAAGTGAGGTAAGTAAAAATGTACTTTTTGAACAAGTAAAATTTAGATCAACAGAGAAGCTAACAGACATCTTTTACTCAGATTAAGAAAATGTATGAAGCAGAGAGTAAATTGTGGATATGGTAGAATTATACTGAGTAGTTATCTCTGCTGTTCTCTAGCTCAATTCTTCCTGTGAATTTGCTTTTTTTCTCAAAAGGCCATTGGTACTAAGAGTGCACACACATCATTTAATTGAGAAGAAGCTCAAGAGGTCATCTAGATCAGAGATTAATAACTTTTTAAGTTCTCACTTGAACTTCATCTTTAGGAAGGGGTGGTTCTCATGTGGGAGCAAGTGAAGCCACAAAACCCAGTCCAACCCCATGATTTAACTGAAACATCCTCCTGCCTTTCCAGCCTGGGAAACTCACCAAGGAGGAAGGTCTGTTCCCAGGTTCCAGCACAGCACTGGCTGTCCTATATTAGGCCATGCTTTTCTAATTTTTTTATATAAAAAACTTGAAATTATGAAGATTTTGTGACTTCCCAGACCATCTAGTCCAGCGCGTTACCATCCATCCTGAGTGAGATGGATGCGCCTGTGTCCCCATGCTGCAGTTTGGTTCTGTTAGTTTTGCTGTGTCATGGAAAACAGATGATCTCAGCCTCTTGGTAGGAACTTTAATGAGTTTTAACCTTGTGTGCCATTTGTCTTCTCTTTTCTCTCCCAAGCAAACTGCTTCTTTCATAGATCAGGTTCAGCATTCTCTTTGGACATATTGTACACATATTTTTGTCTAGATTGTATCTGTTTGTATAAATAAACTAGATAATGAAATGTGTAATGAAGTTGCTTATTAGTGTGAAATCTAATTTATGGCAGGGCTCATTTCTGGGTCTATTTACAATGTCTCTTCTGAAATATGCTTGGAATTGCATATGCATGTGTATATGTACCACTAATTGTGTGTTTTGCTACGATAGAAAATGTACCGCAGAGATTTTGAAGAAGGGATCAAGGGAAGACCTTCATTGGATTTAGACAAGACCCCAGAGTTTTTGCATATAAAACAAGTCACTAATCTTCTGAAAGAGGTAAAGGGATTTTATTTGTTTTTTCTGTTGTTATGTTGTAAATGAGCAATAAGCAGCATCACTACAAGCTGTTGAGTGCCCAATAACTTAAAATTTTCTTGGTGGCTACATTTAAGTCACTTCATAAGTAAAAATTACTTCACATCATTTTGTATTCTGAATAGTCCTGTAGTAAGGAAATTATAAAGCTCAGCACACCTGAACCAGACTATTACTTTTCTTTTCAGATAGATAAAGGGGTGGAAGGAAGGATTTCCATTGGTGTCCAGATGGCAGTTTTTCCCTTTGAGTAATTATTTCACATTTATGGTAACCTGTTGTGGTTATACAGATGCCTTGAACTGCGTAGAGTCACTTATAACTAACTTAATTAAAATAATTATCTATCATACATGTTATGGATAAAAATAAAGAAAAACAAGATTTTGTAAGAGCTGTGATAACTAACTGCTTTAAGTCCGTTTTGTTACAAGGTACAGGTTTTCTGTGTGCTTACTGTTTCCTTAGGATTTGTGAAATGTTCTTCTGTTGTATGTGTTACTAAAAATGATTTTTTTTTTCCCATAACTGACAATCCTTCTATCTCTAGTATTTTTATATTACTATTTAAAACTGCTTTCATGTTAGGTTTGACTCTATGGATTCTGGTTACTATTTGATCCAGTTTAGAAGAACTAGAACTGCTAGAAGAGAAGAGCAGAGCAGAGCTGCTAGATATCCTGCCTTTGAATCTGGGAGCCAACAATACCTTGTTTATATTTTTGGTATTATGAATAGATTTTTTTTGCCAATTAAAAACCCTTGAACTTTGTTCCTTTCCATGTTCTTTATGCAACTTATTCCAGTCTATGCTAGGTCTCATATGGTCAAAGAAAAAAAAAGATTTTCAGATATTCCTTTATTATTTATTCATCCTCTAATAAATAATTTATTCTGATAAACTTGACTGTCAGGTAGGCAAGTCTCAAGCTAGGTCTATTTTATTCAGTGGCATTCTGTGCTACATCTCATATATGCCTTCTCACTAGGGAAAAACGCAAATCATACTGTCATTTCATTCAGTTAATCTTGCTGCTCATTGAATGCCCGCAGAAGTGGGAACTGTGTGCATAGTTATATCATGTGCTCTACATGCTCATCTCTGAAATTTTGATGTAGCTCCCTCCTTAGTGCTATATGCATTAAGATGTTCTCTAATTCAGGCCTCCTCAATTTTTTATGCCTTCTTATTTAGGGAATAAACCATGCCTGTAAGTCAAAGGGGAGGAAAATGAGAAGACGAAAATGGTATTTCTGTTAATGCATTACTCCATGAATTTCCAACAATTTTATATCCACATTCAAGGAAAGTATTTTAAACCCAAAGATTACCTCGGTAAAATTAATTATTATCTTTCATGATTCATAAAAAATATGTATTTCTTCACTCAAGGATGTAGCTCAATGTTTTTCCATAAAGTTTCATAATAAACTTTGAATAGATACTGCATGAAACAAGAAGAAAAACCTGGAGTTAAAAATCAATTAATTGTTCAATCACTTTTTTTTTTCACCCAAATGTCAGCTGTATTTCAGCTTATTCTGTTGATTTCCCACTGTAGAGAATTCTGCAAATATTTCACATTTTGTAGCAATACAAACTTTTTTCTTTGGGACCACATTTACAACTCCTTCAGAAGAGATAGCTGAATTAATTGTTCTGAGTTAAATAGTTCTAAATTAGGAGAAATTGTTTCCTGCTTGTTGTAGGACATACTTCTGATGATCAAGAGAAGCATCTTTAAAAATATCTGGTGCCTTTTATTTAAATAAAGAGCTTATATGGAGATAAAGGTACTCACTGCTGCTTATGAAATTTAATATGTAATTAAGAGTATTAATTCATGTCTATGTAAATCCATCTGATAAATATTTTGTGCAATATTCTTCTAATTTCTTTACTTAAAAAAGCCTAACCCTCATCTGGAGATACGAAGAGTAATTAAAAATTCTTACAAAACTTGGACTTCAATAGGCTTACATCAGCTCTCTATGAGCTGGGAAGAGTAAAAAGAACCAAATGTCCATGGGCACCTTCTAGTGTGCTTTGAATTTTATTCTGAACATTTGAGTACTCTGGAGGCTGCAGTTGCTGAATGCTGATAGGTTATGCCAGTGCAGTGTCTAGGAGGCACAGGAGCGATATGGTAGGAATATTGCTTCTACATTTTAATTTATCAAGAGGTTGTTTTAACAGGTCCTAGTATGGTGTTTAGGGAATCCATCCTGATTTGGATGCCTTTAATGGAACTGAGGTAAAAACTTCAGCACAGTATATACTGGCCTGCAGAAAGAAAATGCTACTGCAGTTAAAATATCTGTCCAGAGACAGACAAGGCCCCTAAACAGTGTGCTAGTGCTGTATAGGACACACCTGGTTTTCAAGAGCACAAAAAAATAGATGACAACTGTTGCCTCAGATGAGGCGTAGCGACCCGGTTCATGAGTGAAACAACGGCTAAACATACAGGCCTGTCGGGCTAATCACTTACGAACACCAATGTGGTGGACGGTGAAGAGCGTTTATTTCTGGTGTGCAAGGTTTTATATGACCGAGTTATGATTCCGTCATCACCGTGATATTATGGGTTATAGAACTTTGGAGAAAGAGGGGCCCTATCTTCCCGTACATCGCGAGATCTTCCGATCGGCTTTCCCTATCTAACCACATCAGACAACATTAAAATCTTTTTGTATTTTCAACATTGTTCCTTTTGATTTCACAATTTCCAATTCTATTTTAAGTCTGGAATCTGTACTTCAACTAATTCATATTTCATAGAAATTTCAAAGAGACTCTTCAGATGTTTAATAAGTGTCATTTCTTTTCAAGATCTTGCACAAAATAAGAAGTGGTGAAATCTCTCACTTTTTTTTTTTTTAATCCTTAGAAAGAGTATCGGAAAGATTTGGAAGAAGGGATGAAAGGAAAAGGAATGACAGTGTTTGAAGATACACCAGATTTGATTAGAGTGAAAAATGCGGCTCAGATACTAAATGAGGTATGTTATTCTAGTCAAGGTTATTATTATCACAGAAAGTTCACTTTATGTTAAACTCAAAAGATTCCTATTTTTTTTTTTTTTTACATAGTCTGCAGTGAAATATGTGGTATTGAAACTAAGGCTATTTCTGTTTTGCTTGAAAAATATAGTAAAGCTCTGGATAAAAAAAAGTTACACAGGACAGATAATTCAGATTTCCAGGCAGGTAAAAGGTCATTGGAGATTGTCAGTGGGGTCAGTAGATCCAGCATTTAGAGCTGTGCTCTGCTCAGGCTTTACCAGCTCATGAGTTCGGGTGGTCTTCCAGACATCCAGGGCTGTCTCTGGGGAACAACAGTGGGGCTGGATGGTGTAGGGAGGGAAGAGGGAAGGCAAAGCTCATGCTGCAAGTTATGTCTTTGGGGAATCACTTCAGAATTTATATGTAAATAAATTTGATACTAATTTTGTATTTATTATATATATATATATATATATAAATGTTTATTCATACACACACACATATATATACATATCCATAAAAAACAGAGAGTGGCATGGATAGGGCCAATTTGACCACTGTAGAGAAGTGCAGGAATATATAGCTGTAACTCCTGGGATTATCTTTTCCTTGGTGTTTAAGCAGTATGAAGCTTAGAGGAAACATTTGCCATCCCACCTTTAGCAGAGAGGAATTGAGGGATAATGTATTTCTATGGGTTAATTTACAATTCTTGCAAAAAAATGTGGTTTGTGAAGTAGAGAGTTGTTTTATCACATTTATTTCCACATCAGAATGAGACAGAGATGGAAGATCAAAAATTTTTTTGCTCATGTTTTTGTAAGTGATCAAACCATTGAATTCAGTACAAATGTATATTCCTTCTTTTTCTAACTAATGTACAACTTAAAAATAATTAACGAACAAGAAAAGTAAGGGGCATTTAAAAATTCTATGTATTATGTGTATTTACTTTGAAAAAGAAGAGTTTCCCACAGGCAGAGATGAACTAGAATAGAAAAAAAGATTATTATTATAGTAGTAGAAATAGCACTGGCTGAGAGTATTTTTTTATTAAAAAAACTTACAACTATTGCATACAATATTTCCATATTATTTTTAATATAATTTGCTGATGAACAGGGAGCATATCCTTGCTTGGATAAGCTGAAGATGAAATATTAATTTTGTTTTCAGGTTATTGGTTATTTATAATTTATGTTGTGAGGAAAAAGCAGCAATCACGGGTGAGGACTGTCACTTGCCTAATGGCTATGGTTCAGGAAGGACCTATTAAATGAATAAATTACAACTTCCTGATCTGGAAGTTCAGTGGAAGCAATTCTGTATGATATTACATTTCAAACATCCAGTCTTGTCATAAATAAAATATTTTCTTAAAAGTAAAATGTGTTTCAATTAGACTGGCACCAAGGACCAACTTATTGCACCATGTTCTGCAGAGCTAAACTTCCCCTTTACTTTAGAGGATAACTGTAGCAGACTGCATGGGCTGATTTCCTCCCACCCTCTGCCACATTAAAAATTCATTGATAGAGGCTTGTATATTCATTGAATATCTTCTAAAAGTTTTCCTGCTGTAGTTTTTTATGTATTATTTCTGACAACAGCTTACCAAGAGTCTTGAGAACTGTGACTCTTGGAAGTTTTGGTTGACTAAATCCTAAATTTGAGTGTCTTGTGGAAAAAAATCAACTTGTAACTCTCTGGATTTTCTGAATGTCATGTATAAATTCTATCTTCACAGAGGCAATACAAGAAAGACTTGGAGACTGAAATTAAAGGGAAAGGCATGGAAGTTGGTCCAGATACACCTGAGATAAGGCGAGCCAAGAAAGCCTGTGAAATTGCAAGCATGGTCAGTACCTGGGGCAAGCTTTCCATTTGACTGAATGCAACAAATTATTGTGATTGAGAATTCCAAGTAGTGACCAATCTAGGCAGTACTGAAAACACAGATTTCACTAAACAGCTAATCCATTGAGCTGCAAAGAGTCAAACAGTTGCAAAATCAGTGTAAGGGGGAAAAGTTAAGACTTCCCAGAACTTAGATCTTCCTATGACCTTTTGCAGGTTGTGCATGAGCCTTGCCTGGCCTGGGGTGTGTTTGGTCACTGTGAGCCCTGCTCCTTTTAGGTCTAAATAGCCACTTATTTAGGTAGGGCCTAATGATAAACAGAGTTAGAGAGATGCTAAAGAGTTATGACCTCCGTCTTGCAAAGCACAGCGGAGGGAGAAATTCTCACGTGTCTGACTGTGGCTGCCAAAACTGTAGAGACAGGTAGATGTGAAAAGCTACATGGGATTTGAAGTGAACAGTCTTTTCTAAAAGAGTTTTTTAACCCATAACTGTATTAGAGTGTAGGCATTGCATGGATAGGTTCTACAAAACTAGTACTGTTAAATCATTTATGATTTATGAATGCTGATCATTAAAATTGCACAGATCAAATTAGGAAAAAATTTAGAATTTGGCTGTCAGTTGTGAGTATTTCCAATGCTATCCTTTTCAGAAAGAATACAAGAAAGACTTGGAGAATGAAATTAAAGGAAAGGGAATGGAAGTGAGTACAGATACCCTTGATATACAACGAGCCAAAAAAGCTTCTGAAATTGTCAGCCAGGTGAGTACAGAATTAATTACTTTAAGATTATTTTGAAAGTAAAACACGATGAGATGTCAAAACCATAAAATCCTCTTGAACATTCTTAAGCTAAAAAAAGCAAGCAGTGCACAATAAAATTATTATATTGAAGAAATGGAAGAATTTAGTTTTATAGTGTGACCAGCACTATGAGAATAGTTTTGAAGACAGCATGTGCAGAGAGTTGTAGTATTAGTTATGGGGCTTTTTTTTAACCTTAATTTTTTCTTCAGAAAGAACATAAAAAGGATCTGGGGACTGAAATTGTAGGAAAAGGGATGCAAGTTGGTCCATATATTCCAGCAATACAGTGAGTCAAAAGGGCTTCAGAAATAGCAAGATGTAGTCAAAAGCTGAATGTTTTAATTCTGTGTAACAATGACCGTTTGACATACGCTGCTCAAAATGCTTCTTCTCTAGCTCTGTAGAGGCTTTCATAGCCATATAAGTCAATTTACATGTAGTAAAATGTCTTAACTGCCTGATTATTTTTTATATTTATGCCTGTTACACCATGTAAATGGAATTTAATTATTTACATCTACCTGTAGTTCTTTTCACATTACCTAATTACTAATGTAATGTTACATTACATACATTCTGACAGTGAGGGGAAAATATATATGAAGATGCTTTATGTATGAAGATGTTACATATGAGGATATATTATATATATATTTTAGTGTGGGGGGCAGACAACGTATCATGGAGAAGAGAGGTTTAAGTAAATACTGGACAGGGATCAGGAGGCTCATCATCAGTAAGCATCTTTTGTGCAGTTTGGGTATCCTGAGCCCAAAAGACATAGACATGTAAAAAAATTATTTTTTCAGAAAATGTACAAAGATGAAGCAGAGAAGATGCTCTGTAACTATTCTGCTGTCCCAGACACTCCTGAGATGGAGAGGATAAGAAGTACTCAGAAGAATATCAGTTCAGTGAGTAATAGTGCTTCTGTCTTTGCTTGTAACTTTTCAGATATTTTTTAGTTTGAATAGGCTCTCTTGTGTCACAGCATAAAATAGGAAACTTATGAGTAGAAGTCCTTTGAACCATTTGCATAATTTTCCTGGCAAAGACTGTATTACTCATTTCTTTCAGTAAAAATAATACCCTGCTTTTCTAGGTGCGACACTGTTATTTTGAATTTCTAAACCACTTATACCACCTTGCCAAGCCACGGTTATTTTTAAATGAAGATTTTTTTTTCTTTTTCCATCAAGCCCCAGGAAGTACTGTATTTAAAAGGGAAAAAAACCCAAATCTAAGGCTTCGTACTATACATACAAGATTTTTCATCTGTTTCCTATCATATGTACTGAGCAATAAGATTGGGGTATAAAATTAGGACAGATCAGATTTCATAAATATATATATATAATGATTTTATATTATTCTGGGTATATTTTAAAATTTTATGCTGGATTTAAGTTTCAGTTTATCCCTAAATATAAATTATGAGCTTAGATTTATAAAATTGCCTGGTTTGGGATGTATCAAGTTCCACTTCCTTTTTGGGCCCATTAATGCTGCTGTTTGTAATTCTACCTTTGCTTGTAATATAACAGAGAAGAGGAGTAAATCTAACCTCCAGAACAAAAGGCCAGTCAGTGGCTGATTTTTATGGCAGACTAAATAATACTAATAAAGCCAATGATTTGAGAGAAAGGAATATAAGATACTTAAATATTTTTAGTATTACCTGACACAGATGTTCTTTAGCTTAGAGATATCCTCAGCTTCTCCAGCTCTCAGAAGTGACGGAGTGGACTCAGTTAGTTTCTGCCAGAGGTGTTTGCCTGCAGCTCCCCTGTACAGCTGAGACTTCTGTGGGGGAGTAAGAGCCTGTGGGGTGAGCAGAGGAGATACCTCTCTGAGCCTGCTCCAGGCTGTGGTCACTCCTATAGCATCTCTGGCCATCACCTGCCCTTTTACTTCCTTTGAATGAGGACAGCTGAAAGCTGCATCTTTCTAGATGGAGCTCTTGACTGGCTTGGTTTTGCTTCCTGTCATCTGTTGGCTCCTGGTTCTGACTGGTGCTCTGCAGCATAGGGTGATGTGGTTATCACCATTTCTCCTGTCACTGGTGGCTGAAACTCCCTGGAGCAGAGGGATGCAAGCTGGCCCCTGTGCTCTGCTGTCCTCCCTGCTCCAGCCTTGCATAGCTTTTGATGAAGTGCTCAGATAGGTCAGTGACTGTGGCAGTGTGGACTCACTAACAGGTAGCAGGCTTAGTTAAGATAGGTATCACCACTTCATTCAGCCTTGACATCTTAACAGCCTTGATACATCTGAGCCCTGTAGGCCAGTCTGAGCTTTCAAGGCTGACAATTATTCTTTTTGTTAGTGTTCTAGATATTAAGATTTAAAATCTTTGAGGTATTTGTATTTGCTTTCTTTAGTGATTGTCCTGTTTCTGTTTGTGAGCTGGGTCTTCCAAATGTAGGAAAGCAGTTTACAGCAGTGATTGAATGACCTTTCTTCTTCTTTCTCTATGTTTTAATCTTTCATCCTTCTGTGCAGTTTAGATGATAAAGGTAAATTATTACTGAATGAAGATACAGCTGGAAGCAGCCCAACTAGATAAAAAAACAGTGACCCCTAACATTCTTCTGTTTTTTGAATTTTGTCTCAAGTATTTTTCTGCCTTAAGGGACAAAAAATAACAACTAGCTCAGCAGATAAGATCATTGCTGCTTTTAGCTCACTAGCTCATTTGGCAGATGATTTATAAAAGGATATTTACTTCACAGTCATCTCTTTCATAGAAAAATTCCTGTCTCCAACATATTTTGCCAATCCTCCCTTGGTAGAGGAGAAAAGTATATTGTCGTTCAGTCCACAATATAAATCTTTCTAACTGACATGGTGCAGAAGAATTTTCAAGTTCTTACTCCTAAATTATCTCGGTTATCACATGGTAGAACAAAATTCTAGATCGTTAAAGGTTTTCTGAATATTAAAAAAAATAGTTGCAGACATTCACTTTTCTCTAGAATATTTGGCAGTGGTATTCACCCCAGGCTGTAGAGGACTTCAATGAAGTAGGAGGAATTAATCAAGAATGTTGTTTTATTATTCAAGGTTTGTTGATATGAAAACTTAAATAAATTTTGATTTAAGATGGGTAGAAATACTAAATAATAAGGATTAAATTTATTAATGTTTATCAATTTTATTAACTCCAAGATCAGACTTGGTTTTTTACACTAACTGACTGGAAATGCTTACTGGAGTGGCAACAGCTGTGACACCAAATACTGAAAATCAAATAAAACTTAAGAGTTTTGCATCAAGAACTGGTGCTTCATGGTTATTTAAATTGTAACCATGCTTGGAGTATGTGGAGCAGTTATTTACTGTCTCTGTAACTTCAAATGATTGTGTTTATCCTTTACTGAAACAATTGAAATAGAGAGAATTGTATAAACTGCATGTGTATCTTTGAAGAAATGAGTTTTGTTTATAGATACAGTCCTCAGCTTTCTGGCTTGAACCTAGGAGTTAAAAATTGCATGACTTGGATTGTAGCTCTGCTTGTTATGGTCATTTTTCCATGAATATTTCAATTTTCTAGTTTGTTTACTTAGAAATAATAGTGTCTGTTCACTTCTCACAGTATTTTAAGATCTGAAGACTACAGCAACCAAATCAAATCCTCCATGTACATCCACCTTCAATTACACTGAAATGAATGAATTACTCAAGCATAAAGTTACACTTGTAAAACTTTATAGGTTATTATATAAATGTTAAGTTTTTTTCCAAATATAAATATGTCATTCCAAACACTTAAAAATATTGAGGTAATTTTAAAGGATGAGAATATATTATCTGGGTTACAGTTGAAAACAAACAATGTTATCGTAGTTATTGATAGTCTTATTTATGAAAAATTAAAGTATTTGCTTTCTTAGAAAGATTTATAGTCTGACCAGTTTGGAACTTGGAAAATTGCCCAGCCTTTTTATGAGAACTAGTATTTGCATTGCTAACAGTCTCATAATTATCTTTTCTTTCGGGGAAATGAAGGTGTTTTATAAGAAGGAAGTAGGAGCTGGCACAGCTGTAAAAGATACTCCAGAGATTGAAAGAGTAAAGAAAAATCAACAGAATATTAGTTCGGTAAGTGCTATTAACATAAATTATTCTTATGTGAGTAAAAGGTCGACTAAATTTTTTTTTTCCATCTTCTTTACTAAAAAATTCCTCATTTTCATATCACACATCTCAGTCAAATAGTTGTCCACTGGATTTTGGACATAGAGCTCTATGCTAGCACAGCTAGAACTCCCCTCTACTGTTGTACTTCTATGTCCAGTGATAGAGATTCTAATTAAAGCATTAAGAAAAATAAGAAAATATTTTAACTGAATGTTTGAGGAAAGTATTTGGACTCTCAAGAGTGAGAAATATGAGATGCATTTTCCCATATGACAGACTGCACAGCTGTTGTATTTGCAGGTTAGAGAAACACCCTGTGACAAAAAAGAAAATCTGTAACATTCTGTTAGATATTGCATGTATTGCATAGGACCTGATGCAGTCTGCACTTGAAGATGAGAAAAACTTTGTCCAGACTTCATCTGAGTGAAAAGGTGGAGAGTTGGTGCCTCTTTAAATGATGGTGACAAGTTGGTCTGTGGATCTGATGAGATTAGTTCTGAACTGCTGTTGTTTATCTAAGGATGTCCAATGTCTTTGGCACTTTAATAGGCAAAGCAAAATAAAATATCAAAATGACTGTTTTCTTCAAATAGAACATTATCTTCTGGTAAATATGTGGCAAAACTTGGAAAAAACCTGAAAAGTGACTGCTAAGCAGCAAAACCCTATAACTGCATTGTCTTTGTTATATTTGGGGGGGAACTCCCCTGGGGCAACTTTTATGTTTGTGGCATGACTTTTCTGATTATTAGATGTTTTTTATAAAAGTAAATTTTGAAAATAATGTGTAGACATTATTTGTCACAACTATGTTGTGTTCAGATATTATTTAAGATATGGAGATATGAAATAGGGACTCTGGACACCTATTCTTGTAGAATTTCAATGTTTAGTGAATAGTGTTAAACACTTAATTTCCCATCCAAGTAAGGTCAGTAGAGAATTTCCAAAAAATTTTTAAAAGCTCATATTTTCCTTGGATTTTTTTTCTGCTCTCTCCATCACTTTTCATCTTGTCACTTTGAGTCACGGTGTAAGCTATCATGTGTCCTAAATCCTGAAATGGTTGGATAGTGAAGAGTTGAAACCTGCTGGTTGGGAAGCAGTTGATTTTCTTGATTTGAGAGTGAGGTGTTTTGTTTTTTTTTGTTTTTGCTTTTGTTTTTTGTTTGATTGGGGTTTTTGTTGTTATTTTGCTTTTAAATTTCCGGTTTTAAATTACTGAGCTTTTTAAATTATCACAGACTTTTATTTCAGGAGTAGTCACACAGAAAGGAGGTCTTACTCTAGTGTTCTTTCACAATACATTTCAAAGTGAAGTGGAAAAATAGTGTACACTTTTCTTGTTGTTTTAGGAATCCTAAATAGTGGTAAACAGGATAGTTTGATCACTATGCTAGTAAACATATTTGAACAAAAATCTACCAAGGGAGGTACAAAATGCATTAGTGGTGTAGTGGTATGATGTAAGTAGTATGGCCTTTACCTTGCTAGTCTTTGTGTAGAGTTAATGTTTTACAAACAGTATTTTATTACATGTAGTGTACTTGAAATTACTTTAGTCTTGTATGATATTTATTAGTGGTGCAGCATGCCAAATTTAAAGGCAATGTACAAGAATGTTTCAAATTACATGTCAGTGAGAGGGAAATTATATTGTGCAGTAGGAGGGAAATTGTATTGTGTAATTTACAGGTGTCCCTAAGGAAGGGTAAATTACACCAATTTTGAATCCATTAGATTCAATATTTTACACATATTTTTGAATTTAGCCAGAAGAACTTGGGACAGCCTTAAAACTATCTTCTGGGCTAAACTAAATGAATGTGGGGGAATGTGAAGCAAATTTGCAGTGAGAGAACTACCAGGGCACCAAAATACAAAAAACACCAAGAAACAGTACAACCAACCACACAAAAAAGTCCATCGAATCATGTTCTGAAAGTGATCAGATTCTTCCAGACTGCACATGTAGGAGGTGAACATCAGAATGGTGTTTTCAAAGCCTGAAATACAAGGTGGTGACAGCCAAGGAGGTTGAGCTCATCTCACCTGTTGTGATGATTGCTTTGGAAGAAGCCAGGATCTCACAGAACTTTCAAAGCAAGCCACAGACCCATGGACTGGAGCTGAATCTGAACTGAGAAGCTACAATTAGCTAAGGATGTTTTAAAAACTTGTTTATACTGAGGGGCAGGCAGGGCTGGACACAGCACGGGGAAGAAGCAGCTCTTTGGGAGAAGATTCTATTTGTTTTTCTTAGTGTGAAATCTGTGAGGAAACCCCTGTGGTATGTCAGTCAATACCACAAAGCTGGGGTCTTATTAAAATTCAAGTTACAGATATTTTGAAGCATTTTAAGGACAAGCACTGCCAATTCTTAAACTTACCTAATAGTCTCTATTAAAAGACCCTCTTTTTCTAGTGCTTTAGTATTTTTGCTAGTCTTAAACTGTCTGGACTGAAATGTTCCATTCCTAGTCTGTACTTTGGTCTGGTTTTGTTTTGTTTATTTATATATTTCAGTCAAAGCAGCTTCCAAGTATGAGCTTAGAGAAAAACAAGTTGTTTTGTCTGTGCTGTGAAATTGGGCATTCTCCAGAAGTAACATATCTTGAGATGGGAGTTGAAAATTAAATGTTAGAAAAAACCAGTAAATATCTGACAGCACGTCCAAAGACATCAACAATCCAGACAACAACATCCTCACCTGTGTGTCTGCATGTGTTTCTAGAGAGCTTCAATGAGACTTTGAAGCCATCCAGCCTTTTAGGAGCACCTAAAAAGATTGGTTTCTGAAATAGACTGGTAGACTCCATAGCAGGTTAATAGTAAGACTAAGTCATTTTCAAAGTGGTGTAAATGTCCAAGTAGTATGTGCAGCATCCCAATTATCATGAAAATAGCCACAATCCCATGTGATGTCCCAGTGTAAGAATTTTAGTACTCTGGAATTGTTGTAAGCACTCTCTGATACATTGAATCAAACAAGATACATTACAGACCCTAGCAGACTGTTTTAGAAATTAAATGTAACTTTTGTGTTTCAGGCCAATGGTGTTTATAGACCTTGTCTAGTAGTGCAGTAAGTATAAGGGAGAGAGTATAAAGTGATAGATGGTTTTAGTGCCTTTCTCTTCTTTAAATTAATAATATTTTTGTAATATCTATTGTGCAGATTAAATACAAGGAAGAAATACGGCGTGCAACAACTATTTCTGATCCACCTGAACTAAGGAGAGTTAAGGAAAACCAGAAGAATATTAGCAATGTGTGCCCCATTTTAATTTCTTGCACACTTCTCTCTACCTTATTAAATGTGTTTGTGTCTTGGTGAATATGTCTGTGGTGTTTGTGCTAATTTCTGTTTATCCACAAAGACAAATTGAATCAATTAATGATAAAATTTTAATTCCTTAGCCTTGCACTTTGATTCATAACAATGAATGAGGTATTGCTGTTGAAATAACAATTGTCTGTGTTTGAAATAGAAGGACTGCCAGAGGGTGAGTACTAAGTAAAGATGGGATTGATTATTAAGGAATGGTACTTTCCATCCAAATGCAATGTGCTCTTCAGTGATGTCTAGCACACTCATGTATTTCTGTTACTTGGAAATTGCTGTTGTAATATTTTCTGCCATGTTTGCTAGGTTCAGTACAAGGAACAACTCTGCAAAGCTACACCCATGAGTGTCACCCCTGAGATGGAGAGGGTGAAGAGGAATCAAGAGAATGTCAGCATGGGAAGTTGCTATCCATTAATACTTTGTATAATTTTTGAGTGCAGAAGATGAATACAAAGTTTTGCTTTCTGAAATTGTGCCTTTTCTTTAGTCAGGGGGAAACAAATGTGTTGGAATTAAAGTAATGGAATTACTTGAAAACCTTCTTTTAGGAAGCAGTTGTGAAAAGGCTTTGCTTGCTTTGGGAAATGGCAGGTGAAGTGTCGCATATTCTATTAAAGAAATGGCTGCAATGCTTTGAGATGTTATTATCTTCCTCAGATATTTGCAGAAAATCTTGACCAACTTTTCTTTATTTTTTTTAACAGAATATCTGTTTCCAGTTGTATTTTTCTGTGCTTTGTAAAAAATTAGCTAGAGTTGTGCTTGAACTTCTGCTCTCTTACCTGTCTCATTCTGATTCCTCAGTAACCTTCCCATCAGATTTTAGTACTTAATAGCTGATATAACCATTTCCATGAGCACAGAGAAGAAGGCAAGGACTGGAACGTGCTACTGCCTTCCTGCACTGATGAAGTTGTACTTTGCCAATGAGTCCCTGAGAGACCAGGCACTCTCCTCACTGAGAGCTGCCATCAGCAGCCATGGTTCATGGGTCCACAAATAGCTACAGTGTTTCCCTAGGGTGCTTTTTGCTGCATTCACTAAAATAATTTTGAATCACAATTTTCAAGAATTCTGTCCCTCTAACTCAACTTCTGGATTATTGTTGATATATCTAGCTTTCCTAAAATGTATTCTGCTAGAAAACTGTTTTCCTGAGTGATTCAAGCCAATCTGTATCATTTTTCTACTCACACTGTTTATTCACACTGTTGTTTACTTTTCACCAATTTTTGTGTTGTGCAAATTTCACTGGGAAGTTTAAATTCTTTTCAAGTCATTGGAATAGCTTTGAGTGAAGATTCGTTAACTTAAGCCATTTCTAGAAACATTAATTCTTGAATAGTCATTTTACCTTAATAAATGTTAATTTGCAAGTTTAATCCATTTGAAAGCTTACCATAGTTTTTGTAAGACATTAATTTTTCAATTGGAATACTTTGATGTGCACAGACCAAAACAGTGTTGTGCTGGAAGACAATTGCTTAAGCAATAGATGTCTTACTGCCACAGTGCACTGCAGAATTATGAGCATAAAGTGTCTGCACAGTTAACCTTATCACTTAAACCCAAGGGCTTGCTTTGCTATGGAAACATTTATTTTGCATGCAAATATATTAATTGGTATGAATTTGTTGCCAGGGGGCCAGAGTTAACATTAGATTGCTTGGTCTGTCAATGCCACATCCTGTCCCCTATCTGCTTTAGATCCTGATCCAGCCTTGAGTCTGCATTTGGTTAATGTATTGTGTTTGGTTACAAAGTGATACAGGGGATAGATATTCCTACAGTACGCTTAAATAAAGGAATGGTGAAATTAGGCTGGATTCAGTTGGCAGTTGTCTGACATACTGCACCCTCTGTGTTTAATCACCTTTGAATATGTAGTATATAAAATTTAGAACCTAGATGGAAACTTTATGGAGTTTCTGTGTCTTGATAAATATATATTTACAATTGACCTTCCTGAAATTCAGTTTTTCATGTGTTCTGCTTGCCTTTACTGCATTATATGTGGCTTAACCCCATTCCAAGTACAAGTTATTTCTCTGTAGAGCCAAGGACCAGTCTGGTAAGTGCCAATATATTGTGTGCATATGTGGGTATAATCCACAGAAATGCATTAATAAACAGCCTGTACAGAAAAAAAATAATTCAAGGTTATCTTTCAAAAATCAAGTTTTTTAAACTTTAATAAACTTCAGATGCGTTTTAGCTTTTCAGTTGTTTCCTTGATGACCTTTGAAGTCATGCATTTTTATATAAAACAAGGAGATATTGCTATACATGAAATAGTATGAATATATATTTTATTCTGTTAAATAATAGGTTCACTACAGAGAGCAGCCTGGCAAAGCTACTGCTGTGAGTGTCACTCCTGAGATAGAGAGAGTCAGGAAGAATCAAGATAATATCAGCTCGGCAAGTTGTTTGAATCTTTTTGTCATTCAGGTTTTTCTTTCACTGTAGAAATAAAAACATGGATATACTTTTCTTTTTACATTTGTTCTGTCAAAGAAATCCAACCGCATCATTCACTGAAGAGACAGCAATTTTATTCTTTGAAGACATGGACTGCATATATATGCAACAAACATATTCAGGGTTGTCTGATTATTCTTTCAAAAAAAGTAAGTGGTTGTATTGGTGTCAGTATTTTTCAAGGACAGAGTCAGTAGAGGTGAGTCATTCTTCCAAGGACTTTTGTCTCTTGTTACCAAATTTGAGTGGCTGGATTGCAGGAGTGAATTGCAGTGAAGAAAAAAAGGAAATGAGAATTTAACCTCAGTGCAAATGTCTTTTTATTTTTTGTGATTCAAAGCATGGAAGCTCTGTTCCATTCTGTAACATGCCACCTGTGTTAGAGCTGAGTAGTTCTTAATAGGTCTCATTGCTAAATACTAAAGAGTAAGATAACATGTATTTCTTGGCTTTTATGGTAATAAAATGTAATTGCTACTAAAGTAGTGTAAGAAGCAGGAGACAGTTTTATCAAGGAAAAAGGAAGAAGTGCAAAAAGCTTGGTAAAGGATAAAACCAGTTAAGTTGCAGTCTGTCCTCAACAGTGAAACAACATGAGTGGCAAAGTCACTGCAGATGGTAAATAGAAGAAGTTTAATGCAGAATCACAGTGGCAGAAGAGAATTACAAGTAATGAACACTTTAGAACTGAGTGTAGGAGTGAAAAGTAGGTTGGATTTGTCAGGGAATATATCTAAGGACAAAAGAACAGAATCTGACATTGTAACTGCATATATCTTAATCATGTTCTTAAAATGCTCATGGATATTTACTGAAGTCAATTATTTTTGAGGCCTGTAGTTGAAAATAGGAGAAAAACTTCACAACAATTCTCAACTTCAAATAATTTTTTAATTTGTGAAGATGAATTGTGTTTTGCCAAGTGACTCATTCACTTTGTTTCTCAAGATTTACAGGGATAAATATTCCACTATGTTAACGGGAAAGATAAAAATCAACCTATGCTGGCTGTAATTATTCTGTCCAGAAAATGCTTTATATTCAAAAGCATATGTAGCTGAGTATATTTTCTAAGAGAATTTACTGTTTAATTAAGAAGGCTTTGAAGAATATGCAGTACCCTATGTTTTTGTTTCTCATACATTGCTTCAAGCTTACCTATGAAACAGACACCAAGACACAAATTTTCACGGCTGTGCTTTCTTAGCTGATATGTAATCTTAAGGAGGGTTAGACAGCTTCAATACATGGTTTTTCTCATTACAAATGCATGTTGAAATAGATTTGCACAGTACATTTGAGAATTAATGCTTGGAGCGTGAATACATAGGTAAATCTAAAATATTAACTATCACAGTGCACAGGTTAGGTGTGATGTAGGAGCTAAGATAGGCTATTGGTAGAAAAATTCAACAAGAGAAAAAACTGTATGGGTAATCAGTTACTTCTACTATTTTAGAATGTTGAGTGTTTTTGGTTTTTTCTTCTTACGTTTAACAGGTAATTAACCTTACATCTTTACTAGTCTGTAAAAAGCCACAAAAGAAGCTAATCAGGAGAAATGTGATGTAAGAGATTCAGTACTTACTGACGAAGTACTCAGATTCTTCCCAAACATGTTGCTTTGTTCTGCTAGTAAAGACTAGCTATTGAATGGGAGTAAGAAGCCTTCCAAAGGATTAATCCTCTTGTAAGAATTGAATTCCCTGGGTTTCTCAGGTAATCCCAACCTGGAAGCAGGCTGAGAACAGACTCTATCTTGATAATTAGGAGGTAGCTTATCATCAGCCATGCAAATATGTTTTAAGGATTTTTTAAGTCACAGTGGTGTTTTCTTAGTATTTATCTTATTTTTCAGTTGATAAATGAATGATTTCACTTATGTCATTCAGTCACAAATTTCAGCTTTTAAATAAATACTTTTGAATAAGTGATTGATGGAATAAATGTGCCTTTTGGCCTTACCAATATACAACCTCATCTGTATCCTTGCTGTGAAATAATTTACTGGCACATTAGTGTAAAGAAGGAAGAGAATTGTTGGGCATTGTGGTTTGGAAAGGTACTGTTGCACGGTGTGATTCTCACCGTCCTTCCTACTGCAAACTGAAAATTCACCAGTGCTGTTGTTGCTGTTTTGCAGGTCAAGTACAGCAGTGATCAGAGGCAGATGAAAGGTAGACGTAGTGTGCTTCTAGACACACCTGAGCTAAGGCATGTCAAAGAAACACAAAACAACATCTCAATGGTAGGGGACTTTCTTCCTATGACTAGAGTGTTCTAAGGAATGGCACTTGACTTCCACTGGATTTTGCCTTCCATTAATATAGGTAACTAATGAAACTCTCTCCTCAGGTATGGAAGGAATATTTTCTTCTTACGCCTGTAGAGGGAGTGTTTGCTAACTGCATAGGAGTGTAATGAACATTTTCAAAATACTAATAAACAGTTTTCTAACAGTTAAATGTCTGTTCTTTTTTTTTTTCCTTTGAAAATGTACACACATCATTTGAGCATCACAATTTCACTGGATTAGGTGACACACTTCACCTTGTGCCTGTGCATGTTCCTGGTTTCTGCGTGGCTTTGGTTCTTGGAATGAGTTGTTTTGTGTGCATCAGCTTGTGTGAGAATGTTTGTCAATTTAATTAATTGATGATTAAGTTTTTTATAATGTAAATATGCATAATCAGCAATACTACCTTTATAACTCTTACTAATACTGGGGTTTTGTTCCAACACTTGGTGCTGTAACACTTTCTACTCTGATGTCCTTTTTTCTAATTTCTTTTTTTTTTTAAGCAGGCAGTTTAGAATAACTATTGTTCTTTCTAAAAACTGATTTCTAAAGCCAGCTGGCATTTGATAAAACAAAAGAGCAAAATATATATTTTGTATGATACTGTGCAAGTAGTCAAAATTATCAGTGAATGAAAATGTTTGAATTCTTTAGAACTTCTACTGCTGGAACATTTTTACTGACAGATGTATTTGTCTGCATCAGCAGACAGTGATCCTGTCTTAGAGAAGGGAATGGACCAGATGACCTCCTGAGGACAGGGCTGTTTTGTGTCCTGTGTGATAGTAAGATGGTGCTTTGCTGCTTAAGCTAGTGCCTAATTCAGTGTCAAAGGAAAAGAAATGCAAAATTGAGAATAAAATATCAGAAAATCTAATTAAGTTGAGAGAAAACACTTGGCTGGCCGTCCAGCCTATCTCACGTGTATAACAATTCTGTTACAGGGCAAAGTCAAAGACTGTCAGTGCTTCATAAACCAAACATACATGTATTCCTGCGCAGAATAGCCATTTGCTGTCAATTGCAACCAGGGGAAAAATGTAATTCTCCTTGTTTTCCTAGGTAAAATATCACGAAGATTTCGAGAAGACAAAGGGCAGAGGCTTCACCCCAGTGGTAGATGATCCTATAACAGAGCGTGTACGGAAAAACACCCAAATTGTGAGTGATGCAGCGTATAAAGGTGTGCATCCACATATTGTTGAAATGGATAGAAGACCTGGAATAATTGTTGGTAAGCTGTCAAGTTCTGCTGTTATTGAAAGCACGATGGGGAAGATAAAAACCCCTGTTTGTGCTCACCAGATTTCATTTGCACTCTTTTCTCACATTCTGGTTGAACTACAGGTTCCATGTCAGCTTCTAGAGAAGTCATGATGGGAATGAATGGGAGATATATTATCATTTGCTCTGTAATTTTAAAAAAAAAAATATGGATAGTTGTTACTATTACTTTAAATTTTAATTTTGACTCTATAAGGAAGGTCAAAATATCTACAATCTGAATTTTACTCAGAAGAAAGATGATTAAAACTGATTCTGCAAGATTTCAATGTTTAAGTATTGCAGGCCAGTTTGAAATTTCCCATTCTGTCAGTCAGTAATTTCTCCAGAACTGCACAATTTCACAATTTGTTCACAATTTCACAAAGTTCACAAAGATATTTAAAAGTATCTCCAGCTGTAATTCATCACTAACTTATTAGATCTCTGGTAAGCCAAGTACCAGTGTTGAGAAGTGATGTTCTGAAAGATGGTCCAAGACAGGGATGTCTTCATCCCTGTTCAAGGGATAGAATCATCCCTGTTCAAGGGGTAGAATTGGATTAGATTATATTTGTATGTAAAGACAAGGTATTGCATAAGGTATTATTTGGCATAATCATAATGAACTCTCTTTAAAAATCAAAGTGAATATTTGAAATTGCTTAAAAGTCAGCAAGTCTGCTACAGCAAAGAGAGCAGTAATATCTTTTTTTCTTCTCATTTCTTTTTGTGTTGGTGTGTCCCATTTCTGTTTTTCTGTGCTTTGCAGCCATGTAGACCCCAGAGGATCTATGTACAAAAAACCATGCTGAGATAGCACTCTAAAATTCTTCCTACATAGTGACAACAGTGAGGCTGACTTTTAAATTTGCCTCTCAAAAACCAGAGAAATTGCAGGTGAAATGGACTTGTGGGTCACATAGGCCATCCTCCTGCCTAAAGCAAGGTTTACTATGTTATTCTATTATTCCTATTATTTTCAGTCTGTTCCTTAAAGTGTCCAAATAAGTCTCCCCCACATAAGGAAGTGGAAGTTTCTTGCCTTTTTTGTTGCCATCCTTTATGTGTCTGTAGCTACAGTAGCCTTATATAAGAAGGGATTTCCCAAAAGTGTGTGTTAAGAGAGCTCTGCCTGGGGCAAGTGCTGATGATCTTCCATCACTTCTCACTTTCATAGTTGTAATGCAGCCAAAGGAAAGAAAGGCTCCTTTAAAATTGCAGTGTGACATTCACTTTGCCATTTGCTCTTTAGTGTAAGCTACAAACCTCTGGCTCTCTGCTGCATTGCATGTGTGCTGTAGCCCTGTGTAAGAACCATTTGTGCAATCCCACGTTCAGCAGCTGAAGCTTTGCTAGCACAAGCAGATTGGAATGAAGGACACCCTTGAGATAGATTCTTGACCTGTAAGAACTGAAATATTAATACTATTTATCACCTAAAAATATTCCAGTATTAAAACACACAGAAATCTTAATTTCCCATGCCTGCCAAATAGCAAAAATTGCACAACTATTTAAAGGAAAAAGGCCATGACAAACCTGAAGTATTTCAGCTAATGCATTTTTGGAATAAAATTGCAATTATAATATCTACTTGTTTCAAAAGAAGCAATGAGCACCCTGCTCATGAAATGTCCTTGGCAGCTCAAAAAAATTTGCAAACTGAAAAACCTACTTATGACTCTCATGAGTATTTTTTGTAGCTGAAAATTGTTCAGCCAGTTAGGAAAAGTGTGTCAGAGTCCCTCTGGTTGATTTTTAATGTGTTGTTGGTGAAGCTAGAACTGTTCTTTCAAATGCCTGGTTACTAAAATTAATGACACTACTCTGGCAAATAGGCCCTGGTTTTAACCCTACTAAGCCATTCAAAACCCATCAAGATAAATTGATGTTGGTGAGCTTTGGATCTGTTGCTAAAGAGGAACCACAATTCTCACATGAATATAAGGATATTTTACTTTGGCAAAAGTTACCAGGGAATTAAAACTGATTTGTGTTATACATTGCCAGGATTTTGATTCTATGCATGTTTTTTCAGATTACAGAGATGGATAAAATCAGTACAAATCAATGACTCTTGCACTGGTGCTGCCATAAAGCCGTACTTATATTCTCACTTACTAAGGCAAGCAGGGCATTCACCAATTCCCCTACCCCTTCTCATGCCTGTCAGCAGGTGTCATGTAGGTGCATAACTTACCTCCATGAGGACTAACACATAGTTTATCTAAAGATTTTGTGTTGCCTTTAATTTATCTTGGCAGGAAGGAGTTAGCACTACACCTCACCTTATGGGAGTTGTGGTAGATAATGTACAATGTACAAACACTGAATGTATTCTAAAGCCATGGGATGTATTTTGTTAGCTCTGTCTGTTCTTTCTATTGCATCTAGGCTATTAATCATTTGAAACACGCCATATTTGGGATCCTCATAATCCTACTTTACCTACCAACCCTTTACTTAGTTTGGTACCTCTCAAACCAGCAAATGAACAAAGCTGGGAAGGCAGTTTTTCTCCTACTTCCAGTATATGGAGTAAATCTTGCAGCCAGGTCTGCCCAAGAAGAAACTCTATTGTAAAAATGTGATCTGGTAGCTTTGTGCTTTGACTGATTATAATTTGCATCAAAGTTTTATTTGAAACTGGTTTGAAGAGATTGAAAGATTTATTAATTTTAGACATATCAGATATCACAGAATCATTTAGATTTAAAAAGAACATTAGGACCATCAAATGCAACCATTAACCTAGGACTGTCAAGGCCACCACAAAACCACGTCAAGCATCATGTCAACACATCTTCTAAATATCTTCAGGGATGGTAACTAAGCCACTTCCCTGAGCAGCATGTTCCAGTGCTTGACAACCCTGTCAGTGAAGAATCTTTTCCTAATATAAATCTTTCCTAGTATATAAATCTCCCCTGGCACACTTGGGGCCATTTTCTCACATCCTGTCGCTTGTTACCTGTGAGAAGAGACCTGTTCACACATCACTACAACCTCCTTTCAGGTATTTGTAGAGAGTGAAAAGATTCCCCTGAGCCTCCTTTTCTCCAGGCTAAACATCCCCATCTCCCTCAGCTGCTCCTCCTCAGACTTCACCACCAGACCCTGCCCTTCTCTGGACTCTCCCTCAGCTGCTCCAGACCCTTCACCACCTCCACTGCCCTTCTCTGGACTCTCTCCAGTACCTCAGTGTCCTTTTGGAATTGAGGGGCCCAGAACTGAACACAGAACTCGAGGTGTGGCCTCACCAGTGCTGAGTACAGGGGGATGGTCACTGCCCTGGTCCTGCTGGCCACACTGTTGCTGATCCAGGCCAGGATGCCATTGGCCTCTTGGCCACCTGGGCACACAGTGTCCCAGGGAATTATTTGTTAAGCTCAGTAGTGGGCATCATTTTATCCTATGGTAGATGTGTATGATGCAGATTTCTACAGCTGAGTTTGTCACCTTAGTTCATTTTTTTGATATTAAGAAAGATGGATACTCTTGAGTTTACACGAATTAAGCACTTAGTAGAAATTTATTTTGGATGAGCTATGACCCTGATTCTTCTTCTTATGCTGACATGATCTCTGCAAAGGAGAGTCTGTAGTGTCTCTGTCAGCTGTGGAGCTGTGTACTGCCAGCTGTCAGCTATAGGGATATACACTGCAACACCTCCACACATAAGGATGCTGCTGGTGAACTGGGGAAATAATCGTGTTGCTCCGATGACTTTGGTTCTGCTGCTGGAAGAGAGCTCTAATATGTGATACTTAACTGGTTTCCAGTTATTTAGAGTTAAGAACATACTATGGTCATGTTTAGAAAATGCAAAAAAAAATTGGGAGCAAAAGTCTCCTTGAAATAATGTCAGTGCTTAAAATGAATACACTAAGTTCTTTAAAGCAGGAAATTAAGCCTTCTGATCTCTTCAGGTGAATATCTAGATATCTTGGTTAATTTCTAGATGACGGAAATTGATTTCTGATTGTTAAAGCTCATTCCTTTCATGCTTTTACTTCCTTTGTTGTTTGTCTGTCTTATAATTTCTGTGCTTTGGAAAAAGATCTTAAAGTTTGGCGTACAGATCCTGGCTCCATCTTCGACATTGATCCTCTGGAGGACAATATTCAGTCTAGGAGTCTACATATGCTTTCTGGTACTGCTTATATCCTGACTTTCCCCAATTCAGCTTTTCATGTTTGTGAAACTAAGTTGATACTGTAAATTTCCAGGTCAATATGCCAGCCATATGTTTTATAAGCATACTTTCATATGTATTTATAACTGTTGTAGTTTAAAAGCAGTGTTTTATATGAACTTCAGCTGTAATCACATGTGGAGATAAGAAATAGTGAAATAAATCTTATCTTAAACAAGTTATTCATGCCACTTACAAGTAGCCATTTAAAAAGAATTGGCCTACTTTGTCCTTGCTATAAGTAGAATTTTCAACTAGTTGGACTGTATAAAATTTCAGAGTTATAGAAAGTGACCTATTTATGAAATTGATTTATTTTCCATGCACATTTTGCCTATATGGCACATGACATTATGCTTTGTTCTATTATTTGCCCTCCAAGGTGTTCATAATTCTAGAATAGATGGAAAACAATAGAAAGTAATGTAAGAACAGGGAGTGGGTTTTTGCTTTACAAGTTTATTGATTCTTTGCCTGCACAGGAGTGTTTACTTTGAATGTTTAATTTTTCACATGCATTTCCTTTGCTACTTTGGAACTTCAAATGTTCTTTTGAACAATATACAGCTGTATTTCCACATGCACTTGTAGGCATGCTGGGATAAAGGAATAATTTTATTTTCCATGGGAAATGTTTATATTCTTCATCTTTATCCCTTCTTTTTCTGGTATCTCAGTACTACCTTCCATTTCTGCTATTCTTTTAAAGCAAAGAACAAGCTTAGTTGTATTCAATTTTGAAGCAAACTTTGGAAGTAACTGGTTCTTAAAATGGATACAAAATTGCAAAGCATTTACTTTTCTCTAATATTAACTCCATCAGTGTATGAATAACAATGTTAGCAGTGGTGGGGTTTATGTTGCTGCTTGTATTTGCACTTCTGTTGTTTATTTACTGTGATATTCTTTATTTCTTTCTACCTTTGTAGAAAGAGCAAGCCGTTACACTAAGCAGTATTTACATTCTACCAGTCTGGGAGATTATAAATCAGATGGCTCTGACACGAACCCTACCTTTTCTTACTGCAGTGAGATAACAAGGCCATCTGATGAAGGAGGTACCCTTTATTCCCACCTTTTTCACTAACAGCACTGTTGCAGTATGTTGAGACTTCACAGGCCTGCATTAACTCCATATCCTTGTGTAGTCACAAGTAGAAACTTTGTGAGCTATTGCCTGATTGATTGGGAAAGCAAAGCAGGACTGCACAGGTTCTGCATGACGTATCATTCTATTGTGAATTCTCTTTCACAATTCTGGTAATGCTCCAAAGCCCTGTTAACTCCTATTTATAGTGCTTTAAAGAAGGTATGTTGTGTTTTTGCAAAACGTACTTGAATCTGGTTTTATTTTTTCTCTTTAATCACATAATGTAACTGAATGAAATAGACCTTTAACCTCAAAAAAACATATTTACTTTGGGCTTTTCAGTGGGTAAATCGAGTATATCATAGTATTTTAGTGACTAAAGTACTTTTTCCCGTATTCAACTATGCAGGTTTTTGTGACTCTCTATTTTTATCTTAAAAAAAAAAAAACGCCCAAGGAATTTTTTCCCTTTCCCTCCTTCTTACCTAACTAATTTTTCTTATCCTCTCGGTGATTTGAGAACCAGGGTTAACACTCAGCTGGGAAGTTTATATAGTCTGTTATGGTTTAATGTGGATTAATATTAGAATACTTTGGCAAACCTGCATTCTCAGGTACAAACCCACATTGTGTACCTGTTTGATGCTGTTGATTAGAAGGAAATTTAGGAAAATGGTGAATAAGTGTCTAGTCATCCAAGTGACATTAAAACATGCACTAGACTTGACTGATGAATTGAAAATATTCTGAATCATTGCTTTCTAAATAGATATTTTTTAAAAATAGTGATTTCTGCTTCTCAGTTGTGAAAAAATGGTGCATTGGAAAGTTTATCCAAAGTTTTTTTTTTTTTTCTTGTAAGAAACTGTTTAGTTGTCTGCACAACATTAAATTACCCATGCTTTTAGAAATTTTAAGGTATCTTAATTGTAGACTGCACTTGTTTATGTTCTCCCATTCAGTGGAGTGATAGGTTACTGTGGTGGTTGGTGCTTATGGAGCCTGCATTTTCTGGGTGCTGTGTAAATAAAAGCAGCTCTGATTAAGAATGGGTGAGGGAGAAGGTGTTCAGGCTAAAGTGCTAACTCTGAACAAAGGAAGAAACACATATCTTTGACAGAAATGTACTGCCTTTTATCATGTCTGACTATCTTTATTTGGTACTTTTAACTATATTCTCAACTCTTTTAATAGATGATAGCAGTAATGCACATTATGTATTTTTTTCTCTTCCTGTGATGATGTGAAGTGAGCTTCACAGTCCAGTGCACATTGTTTGTCTATAGCTGTTCAGATCTTTTCTTTGGCAGTATTCCAAGCAATTTCAACATTGCTTTGTCATCTTGATTTGATTTTTAACAGATATTTTTTACTACTTGCCATATTGAGAATGGGAAATGGGCTTTATTTTCCTGGTTGTTCTTGCACTAGTAAGCTTGCTTTTTGTGGTTCTATTTGAATCTATTGTTGTGGTGATGTCTTGGATAGAGCCTTCCCAAGGTCAACCTATTTTAGCAAGAGGTTGTTCCCATTTTAACCAAGCTGGCTAGCCAGGACTTGAGCTCCTGTAGACAGTTCCCATTGCAGGGAAGAAGTAAGTGCCAGAGCTAAGTAACAACTGAATATAACCCTAATGATTTACAAGAAAATGCCAATTCTGTGAACACACATAGAGCTAGCAGAAGACAGCATCTTTGGCCAAAAATACCAATCTTTTTCATCCCATCCAAAAGGTCATTTTGCAGATAGCCACAAGATGAGTTTGTCCATGACCTTTGTAGAATGTCTCTTACACCATTAGTGAGAACCAAATCTATTTTGGTGAGATTCCATGGCTGTTTCTCATGGAGTTTATACTTTCAGATTAGCAGGGTTTCTCATTGGCAATTGTTCTATCTGATGGTGTGCCAACATGAAAGACAGTTTGAGACCTGTAACCAATTTTACAGTCTCTGAGTGTCTTTGGCCTTGTCTCGTCATCTTTCACATATTTCTACATTGTTCAATTGCTACTTTATTTTAGATACCTTTACTGATAGTTGACACACTGTTCAAATCTTCACCTGCCACACCTGATGGAATTTTTCCTTAACTAACTCTTCCCAGCCATTAGCTGGGTCTGTGACTTAATGCCAGTTGTTAAAGGCTTATTCAGATCCAAATAACTCTCACTGCTCTTGGGGAATTTCAGTAATAACATCACAGGGAAGCTACTAACACTGTTCATTAGAATTACTTCTTCCTGTTTTGTTCCCTGACTGTTACTTTAGATGATGATGAGCTGAACCGTGTGTCCTTCTCAGGGAGCTTTCTCTACAAAATCAGTCGATTTTTGCATAATGTAAGAAAATTCCCTGTGCTTCCTTTTAGGGCACTACAGTTCATATTGAATAGGAAACAATTGTTAACACTTTCCAGCAAGCTTTGCTGCTGCTTCTGCCCTTGGTTAGTCTGGTCAGAAGACTACAAACTACTCAGATAAAATGGAGAAAATCCCTCTTTATTTCACACACTGGAATTGAAGATGTTTCCCAGTATGTAGGCCAGGGAGTCTCCTTCCACTAGGGTAGTGGTCATAACTCTTCTGCTGTGCCAATAGCTGAAAGAAGAAGAGGAAAGAAAACCAGATTTTGTTCCCTTCCTTGCTCTGTCCTTCCCATGAATTTTTATAAAAAACCCTCTGGTTTTGAGGTTGGGAAGAATGGCCATTAGCAAAAGACAAGCCAAAGAAAAAAAGGGGGAATAATACCTGAGCTGTCTTTATGTTGCAACAGAGAGATTCTCTGTCTTCCATGTCCAGGTGCAGCTGTCAGGAATACAGGGCAGGAATCCTTCACTCCTCTCTCTGCGTATTCATATTCAGTTGCTAAGCTCTGCCATTCTGAGGAGGTCAAGCAGAATGACACAGCAGTTAGATATTTTTTCTTTTTTCTTCTCTTTTTTTTTTTTTTTCTTCTTCTCCATCAGTCAGGGGAAAATTCTTTTTTACTATGTAGCTGAACTCTGTATCCGTAGTGTTCCCTGGAGTCCAGTAATCAAACATGGCATTCAGAGGGACGGGAATTGTACAGTTCATGGGAAGAACTATAGGCATTTCTGGGTTTCTTGTCCCCTTTCAAGTGTATCAGCAGGCTGCCCTGCCACAGAAAGCTGAGCACATCAAAATGATGCACTCTGGTACCCCTTTGTGAGGGTCACATTGACACTTCTCTTAGCCACCAGACTCTTACTTCTGTTTCTGACTTTTTTCTGTTTCAGACTAGATGGTACTTTGGTTTTCCATCTTTAACATGCCAGTGCCCAGCAGGTTTGCCAACCTGAAAGCTAACATGTGGGAAAAAAATAGTCTTCTTCCATTCAACAGCATTTTAATAAAACTGTTTTTCCATCTTGGTAATCAGGTGGTTTTCTGTTCTTAGGTGTGTCATGTAATACAAATGCTTGTAGTCAAATAATAAATAACTTAGCCACAAGCTTCTGAGATATTTTCAAATGTAACTAAATAGTTCTCTTGTATGTTATACAGACACAAGTGCATGTGTATGTTTGTAATCTCTCTGATGCCACAAATTATTTAGCATAAAGGGTTTTCTTTGTTAGAGAGCTTGTGTTCCAGAATCAGTGAAACCTGGTCTTCCATTCTCAAATATATTTTTACAGAAATGATGTCATTTCCCTTGTAAAGGCTTTCTATAACCACACTGTACCCCAAAAGGACATGGTTTTTCAGACAGCAAGTCAGAGCTCTTTCTCTTCTGAAAATTGCATCTTTCATTTGAAGGAGATTTATTTTGCTGTTGCAGCTTCTGCCTTGTGTTTTCCAGTGACTCCTAATGTTCAAAGGGCATTTTTTTTCCTGATTTAAAATAGCATCATTACAGTTAGAGGAGTTCTTGAAAACAGTGGGAGGTTTCCTGGTGTTGAAAACTTTCTCAGCTCTAGAGTTAAGATAAGAAATAAAAGTAAAGACAAAGTTAGTTGTAAGAGTTTAGGCTTCAGTTAGAAACACATTGAGAATGTTCCATACATGTTCTTGTTTCTGTGTGTTTACATGATAAGAGGATTTCTGACTGCTTAATATATATTTTCTTTCTCTGAATAATCCATTTCAGTCTTTTAAGCCATGTTAGTACATGAATCCAGAAAGGCAATTGGACTTTAATATGACATTTATGCACTCTTTTGTGCCTTATCAGTTTTCTGTCCTAGTCTGGACTATTGGACTTTTAATGTCCTCTGCTGAGGGCTTTGTTAATGCAGAACATGAGAGAAGTTAGTCCAGAAAATTATGTTTAATATTTGCACCACAAAGAGGTATTAACTATCTGTAAAACCTGATTTTTTTAACATAAAACTTGAAAATTCATATAGTACTTCAAGTAATTTCTTAGTTAATTTTTGATTAAGGTCTGGTTCAGGGTGTTGGGAATAAAACTAAATATTCCATGCTGGTTGTAATACATTAGGATATAAATTGTTGATTTGTCTGAAAGCACATTTTCTTTCAGTCTGTGCTCACTGAGGATGAGTTAATCTTCCAGAGAGCTTTACATTTCATACTTCCAAAATATTTTTGCTTAGATTCCTTATGCCTATTTGATTCCCATGCTTCTCTCCCATACTCATGGCATCTGGCAGCATCAAAAGACAATCCCCACACATCCAGGTGGAGGCATATCCAGAAGAGATCCAATTTTTAATTTCTGTAGTACAGCAGCAGTTCAGGGGATCCTCCTGTTTGTTCTGCCAGCTATCTGAGTTTGATGCTCCCTTTTCCATTAAACAGTTGGTGAGAAGAAAGTGGAAAGGAAGTTTCCAGGTAACTCAGCAGTTGGAAGTGTTAATGGCTCCCTTGTCAAGGAGTTGTTTCAGTTGTTAAGTGTGGTCCCCTAGAGCAGCTTTTGATACACTTGAGAGAATTTTATATCCAGTAGACAATAAATATAATTAGCAAAATTGTGTGCGGTG